TATGTCTTGCAAAGTTAATTTTCACGTTATATGATCAGCTTTGCAGATTTCAGTTTGCCCAGCTATGCATTTTTTGAGTCAGACTATCAATAAATTTAATAAAAAGTTATCATGTCTATTTGTGCCTACAGCAAGAAAAACCTAGACGGCAACACCTTACACCTTCCGAGTTAATATGTTCTCGGGCATCACTGCTCAAATCGCCCTCGTCGGTCCAGGCTCCTATGTCGTTGTCCCGTACCAGGCCCCACTCGTCTGGCATTGGTTTTCCGGTAACCAAAATCACAGCAAACAGCAAGATGAGAATCTTAATGAGATGCTTCATTTTCACCTAAGTTAAAACATTTGACAGTAAGGAAAACACAATCTGAACTTAGCATATTCATTGTATTTTTATAAGTTGTAGGAGCGATGAGAAACCGCGCAACCCTTATAATTATGGGCATGGCCTAAAGCCACGTCCACTCGAACACGGGTAAAGAAATACCCAGTTTCAGAGAAAAATCTCCTGATTCGTGTGAACGGGGCGTAACAAGTTCCATTAGTCTGCGAAAACATCCGTTTCTCCTCGCAATTCGCGGCTGGAGACGTTTCGCGTGGGCCAGCTACGAAGAGCGAGGAGAGACGGATGTTTTCGCAGGCTAGCTAGTTCCATGAGAAATCATTATAACGATTACAAGTACGTTTTTAATACAATGGTCACGCTTTAATCCACATGACTGACTGATACAAAATTACCTTGAGTAGCCTTATAAATAGAACAAAGAGGCCCGATGATGAAGATATTTGCATTTTGCGCCATAAAGAGAACCCTTGACTCGTCAACAAGCGATTTTGATGAAGAAAAAAAGTTCGAAACATAAACTGATTTGCCAGTCCCTTTCAACCGCCATTCTCCACAACTGAAATAGAGATAGATGTCATTCGGAGAAAACGTGCGTGATTTCAGGCTTAGTATTTTCTCCAATCAAATATCAAACAATGCCCTGTAGGTGACAAACAGCTTAAGGTTGCTTTCCACCGTCACCTAATTTTTACGTGCGTACGTGTGTTAATTTTACACAGGTAAATAATATAGAGGCTATGTATGAAAGTTTGTGCGTAAACGTAAAAGTTGAGCGAGGGTTCAGTTTTTTGCGTTCACGCACAACCTTTCATACATTGCCTCTATATCATTTACACACGCAAAATTACACGATTGACACGACAACGGTCCCTAAGTTGGGAAAGTCAAAATCGGTACAAAGTCGTACAAAGTCGATTCGAATTTGGTTTGCACACGCACCAATGTTATCTGGACTCAAAAAGCTAAGCTGAGCTTGATAGAAGATGAGTACGAGTGTAGATAGAAATAAAGCACCAATGGCTGACAGAAGTTAACACCATGAAGTCTACACTAGAACAGAACTAAATAAGATGAAAACGCTGAATTTGTAATAAACAAAATGTGCTTGAAAACGATCTAGAAATCATTACGTATTTCCCATGCGGACATAAAAGAAAAGGGCTGGGAAAGTAGAAACGTTCGTGCACTAATAAGGCGTTTCAAAACCAACATTCATTTCGCGGAATTCTCTTAGAGATTTTCTACCCGACGGGAATAAAACATGAAAGAGAAATCACTTTTTACCCACCTCAAAACCTTTCTGCTCCAAAATTTTCTGTGAGCAAACGCCTCGAGGGATAATGCTGCACAAATGATGCGCAGAACAAAATAGGCAGCTTCTACACTACTCAACAAACCCTTAAAGCAGTGCCAAATATGTAGGTCATTATATTTCCAGCCTAAGTGCAGCCGCACCCTCCCCCTTTATCGGGGGGAGGGTGCGGCTACACGTAGGCTATTATATTTCTAGCCTCGTTTTCAAAGAGCGTCCGGGTGGACATTTTCTCATCACTGTTCTCATACTAAACTATTTTCTATTCATACGCGAATAAATTCATTTACTTATGAATGGTTCAGCGCACTTGGTCTTATTATGATATGGCCTAGGGCAACTCGGAGATGGGCTATCTTATTAAGGGCTGTTTACATAGAGGTGGGGGACCCCAGATAGGTGAGATAACATGTGATGTGGCGGGTCACCCCACCTATCATGTAAACGTGATCACATTAAAATGACAGATTATATGGACAAGCGGGTTACGCCACCTAAGCGGGTTTCCTCACCTACCTGGGGTTCCCCATCTACATGTAAACAGGCCCTAAATGTTTCTACAATCCGCATTGAAACTGTAAGTTCCTTGAGCTAACTGTGGTTCTTTTGAAGATTCTATGTAAAATTATCAGTTTATATTTAGTACCCTTTACTTGAAGTATTGTTTAAAAATAAGCAGGAGCGTATTATCAGGTTTAAAAACTCGAGGCAAAACCGAGTGTTTTTAAATCTGATAATACTCGACTGCGAGTTTTTTGAACGCCTTCAAAATTTCTGATATAGATCAACTCACTCTTGCACTAATAAGATTTGGGGTTATTTTGGTCTAAAAAAATTAGACGGAAAGTTTAGCCGTGTCTTTATCAGATACGGTATAAAGACACCATTAAACATTAATTTCTTTTGTTTTTTCTTTATGAATTATTAATGAGTTTTTTAAACTGGCCATAAAAAAACTTATCGATCGTAAAATGACAACAACAGTGAAATAGAAAAAAGAAATCTTATAAACCTCGACAGTTCCAGCTTCACCAAACAGTCCGTATTTTTCGAAGCCAAAAACGTGTGTGAGACTCTGATGCTGATCAAAATAAACTAAGCTGCGAACAGGCGGGGTGTTTCTTCACTTTTACAGTCGACTCCCAATAATTCGAACCTTCAAGGGAAACAGAAAAAATTTCGAGTTATCGAGGGTAAAATTATGTGGAAAATGTTCTGAAGGGAAATAAAAATTGCTTCGACTTAGCGGGAGCTTCGAGTTATAGAGGGTTCGAGTTACCGGGATTCGACTGTAGGGCATGAACTCAGGGTTCCGTTCTACGAAGGTAAACAGCAAAAAGAACGTGACATTGTTTTTTTATGGCCGTTAAAAAAGAAACAAGACTTTCACCAGGAATATTTATCGGATTTTCCTAATAAGGCAAGGTAAGAAATATTTTAACGGCTATTATGAATTTCAGACGATTACTTCGAGTCGTTTTTACTCCCTTTCAGAAGGTAAAAACGATTCGAAGTAGTCTGAAATTCAGGCTGGATAACAACGGCCGGAAGAACTTCAAAATAATGACCATTCTGTGACCTGTGTAGTTCTGATTTAATAGCTACCAGTCTATCGCAGTCTTTCCATGGCTTGTTTTCAGGTTTTTAATATTGCATGATACATGAAAGAAGTCGAGAAATTACACTCAAACACTGTGATATTTCCAGTATCACACAGGATTTAAACAAAACAGAGCGCCTAAATATGCGCGAAGTTTCTGACCTAAAAACTGTTATAAAATCGATACGAAGACATCATGTCAAAACGTTAACCAAAGCAGCATTTCAACTTGAAACGGCAGTAACCGCTTTGGGTTACACTACTGATCAAACGGCCCTCATCGGTCCAACATCGGCCCAGGCTTCTTTGTCATTGCCCCGTACCAGGCCCCAGTCGTCAGGAATGGGTTTTCCCATGACCAAAGTCAACGCAAACAGCACAAATAGGACCTTGATGAGATGCTTCATTTTCACCTAGATCAAAATGCATAAAATCGAATAGATAGCACGAGCACGTACAGGTTAGGAGCAGGTCGGCAAAAGATTTCTCGTCACTGGGGGAGATTCCCAGTTCAAGCTAGTTTAGAATCAATGCAACCGCTGAAGTCAACGTTAATGTTGGCATACTGCGACACATTAAATCAATAAGTAATAAAAATCGTTTTCCTTGACCAATAATAATAACGTAATAATGTGACTGATAACGGTTATTCAACGCACAAATTCTGTTCTCAGTCGACTAGCTATAAGGAATCAATTTAAGTTTTAAAAGCTCCTTTTTAAGGTTATTATTTGTTTATTTTGTTTATTTGTTTACTTTTTCTCCATTTATTTATTTTACAAGCCATTTATATTGTAGTACAAGATTTTGAAGATGAAGATGCTATTTGTAGAATAAATATCAGGTTACAAGAATAAATGGAGAGGGCAGGATATAGTTAAACTAATTACTTGCCCTTTGATTAAATTACAGTTTTATTTAGGTTAAAAGAGAAAAAAAAGAGAAAAGTATAAACCCTATAAACTATGAGAAATATATGAAAAATATACTAAAGAGAGGAAAAAAGAAAAGCGCATACACACACACATAAAAAATGACATTTGAGAGTCGAAAAATGCTCTTTTAAACAATTTCTTAGTTGTTTTTTCACGTATATTGAATATCATTCCAATAATAGCATCCTATAACTGTTGGACAGAATCTTCTTATATATTTATTCTAAAGCTACTGACATTTAGGTGTTGCAGGGATGCACTTCTTGTGTCATATTTATGTTGCTCAGATACCGTGGCAGCCGAGGCCAGAGTGAAATTAGACGGCTTTTTATGTACACAGTGATCATAAATCAGTTGGCAGGTATTTAGCTTAACAATGTCAGGAAGCTTATTAAGTAAGTTCCAATGGACTTCAACTTCGAGTAAAAGGTCTAACAGTTGCCAATCAAAAAGTTAAACTGAGCTTAGGGCGAGTTGCAAGATGCTTCGAAATAACATTACAAGAAGAATTGGGAACTGCCCACCTACCCCTCCCTTAAGCCAACATTATCACTAAGTTCTCACTTAGGGCAAAATGTTGGCTTAGGGGAGGGGTAGGTGGGCAGTTTCCCAGAAACCTAGATTGATCCAAGAAATGTGTACTAGTTTGTGGGCGACTTTTTTAATAAAGCCTTCCTAATAGTAATACAACAAGCAGAAGCTACTTTTTCGTGATATATATTCGCGTGCGAAAATTACCAGGTACGCAGGATACGCATGCGCTAGTTTCATCACGTGATTCGTGAGAGTGAAAGACATGTTATGAAGGTTAGGGATGCGTGACGTTGTGCGCTTAGTCTGCATTTGCATAATTAACCCTGATTAGTTTTTCTGTGTCTGTTCACTCGCTTTACTGTGTCTCTTTCATAAGTAATCGGCGGACGTTTCACAGCTCCTCTCAATATCGTTACTGGATAATTACGCAGAGCCTGTACTCTTCTGATCCCTTGCTTGCTTTCTGGTGATCAAAGTCGACTGACCAAAGACGCCGAACCGGACGATCCTATCTTCCGTGCTGGGTATGTATGACTTAAGCTGACCGTCTAATGTCCTTAAGGCGACCTGTTTGCCTTATATGAGATCTATCGGTTGTACAAATCCTTTCAACGTTGCAGTCTTCATATCTGCATTTAATTCATAATGCACAATAAAGAAAAACCATAAGCAGATGCCTGCCTGAAGATTGTACTTGATAGATACCCAACAAAAAGTGACATTTCAGTCAAACTGTCTATCTAATGGACGTCTATTTTAAACAAAAGATAAAAATTCAACCTTTGCATTTAAGGTCATTTAGATTAGGAAAAGGTAAAGTGATGCGAAATGCAATATTCTCAGCTCCAGTAATAAAATAGATACTAGATATTTCCATGCGAGGTGACAACATTGTTTTTGAGGTACTTAGAGTTGTATTGTTTTCCGTCTTTTGTTTGTTTTGTTTTGTGTAATTCGCGGGCCACTACCGACAGTTAGATGCACAAGTGTTATTTATCGGTATTACATTGGTTGACAAGATCGTGTTCTTGAACCAATATGTGGAGACATTAACCGCATGGGGCATAGAGTCGGGGCTTTAGGTAGAGATTTCACGTGTCGAGAGGGTAAGGAAAGCTGTCATTTAGAAATTACTAAATTACTAAAATTATTAATTAATGAATAACACGTTTAATTTGTAATGACAAGACGATTTTTCCGTTTTAAAGGATTTCCTCAAACGGGGCTTCCGTATCCTCGTGCCAGGGGCCCGTTTCTCGAAACTCCAGGTAATTTGTCGGGCCCGAAATCAAGTATTCACAGTGAAATAAAAAGACTAAAAGCATGGGTCCTGGCTAGCAAACTACTCCATTTTATTTCATTAACTGATAGGTTTATCTTGTTAGATGCCAATCTATTGAAACCTTTATCTTGCATGCAAACAACAACAGTTTTACGGGCCCTTTGATTATCGGGACTTTCGAGGCTCGCAGCCAGCATGCAGTTTAATACAACAGCTGCCAAGCAAGTGAAAGTGGTACATTGTTCCCTTTTTCAATGGAGGTTTACGAAAATGGTACCTTTTCCGTCAAAAATGGTATATAAGGTAAGGGGTTGGTCCTCGAGACAGATCCTACCCGTGTGAAACGTTGTTGAATTCCGCTCCCCGACTCCCCACCGGGCAGAGAGTGAACTTTTTCTCAACGGACACCTCCCAAATCGGACACCCAGAGTTGTTCCATGCCATAGAACCTGGGAACGGGTTGGCTTCAATCATTTTTTAACACTCTAGGATCATTATACGTTTCTGGGAAGTTGCCCACCTACCCCTCCCTTAAGCCAACATTTTTCCCTAAGTGAGAAGTAAGAGGAGGGTTAGGCGGGCAGCTTCGCAGTCCCTGTAAGTGTGAACATAGCCTAAGTGCCACTCCCAAAGGTTCTCATATTGAAGAGAGGTGAGTGTATAACCATTCGACAATAATTATTTTTTCAGGGTAACTGACAGCTGTCATTCAATGTACAATCCCGATTTCTCACAGCCATGGCACTTCAGTGATGTGGTACTGTCAGTGGATGGGACCAAATTTCACGTTCACAAGAGCACCCTCTCAATATGGTCCCCAGTATTCGAGAAAATGTTCACATCCGACTTTGCAGAGAAAGATGCCAAGGAGATAGAATTACCTGGGAAAAAGGCCTCAGAGGTTGAAATACTCCTTAGAATCGTGTACACACATGGGAAAGGTCAAAGAGTAACAGGTAGTGAATCATAGAAATTTGTAAATTTTCTCGCGTCTGATTTTTCTTTCCTGACAACAGTCTTAATGTTATATGTTCAAATCTTGTCACCAGTTTACTCTGCGCTTTTCACCAGTCTTAGCAATACATCGATGTTTCCCGCGCTTAGCTTGGCGTAGATCCCGCGTTTAGCACTAGTTGAATGCTTTCATGTGAGTCTGTCAACACCGCTGCAATTGATGATGGTTGCATTCTTTCCCGCGTTTACACTAACGCCGTAATACAGCAGTCTTATTTTTTTAAAATCACCGTTGCGATGGCTACATGATAAATCGCGTCTTTGGCGGCAAAAAAATGTTACAGTTGTTGAAAGTGTAATGGTTTGGTATTTCATGGGTTTTTATATGATATATAGAAAATTACATGGTCGCTTGGAGGTACAAAATTTCTTTTCTCTTGTTGAAAAATATTTCACTCGTTCGCGATCACCCGAAGAGAAATTTCGTATCTCCATGTAATATCCTCTATTTAGAGGTCACATGACACAATATGACTTTTCTTTTGGCAGCTGAAAATTATCGGTTTCTGCTGGAACTTTCCGAGGAATACCAGATGGAGAGAGTCAAAGAGTTATGCTGCGAGTTTCTTTCTTGCAATGTTCAAGATACCAACTGTGTAAAATTTTACATGATTGCAGAGAAATTCTCTCTCCAGGCTATAATGAACGAAACACTCCAAGAAAGTAAACATCTACCTTTAACCTCTTTAGAAAACGACGAATGTTTTAAGGAACTTCCTGATAAAACAAAGTTAGATATTCTCAAGACTAGAATACGCGAACTGGAAAAGACCCTTGGGGAGTATGTCAATACGTGCTACAGTCTTGTTACCAATGTGTATAAGAGAGTAGCCGAGAAAGTACAGAGCAATGAATGTGATAATTATGAAGTCCACCGTTGCGGTGCAAATGAGCGTTTTAAACTGTCGTGTAAGTGCTGCAGACGAAGGGTTCAGAATGCTGTTTGTGAGTTGGAATATTGGGATTTTAGGACATTGTTGAAGAAACTGTTTGATTTGAACAACTGCAACAGAACAGCAAGGCAATTTAAGAACTCGGGGACCTAACTGCTGACGGTGTATAATTTGTTCAAGAGTCACCGTCGTATGGATAAATTTTTGTCGGCTGTTTTTTGAGGATGGCATTGATTGGCTTGAAAACGTCACCTTTGGTGTTGTAAGTGTTGCGTCAGCATGCAAGAGAAGAAGTCATCCCCACGAATTGAACAAAAGTATGTGAAAAATTTCCTTGAAATAACCCCTTTCAAAACGCACAGTCTCGGGAATTCTGGGAATTAAAGCGATGGTGGCCTGGGTTCAACATAACGCTTTTTTCAGATTGCCTCAAAAATCCTGCTTAGGACTTTGTACACTGACTGATCGTTAGAACAACTAAGAGTTCAAATTTAGCAGATAACGACCTTCTTTGTTCGATGGAATCATATTGGTCCAACTTAGACATACGATTATCGGAGAACCTTGCGAATCTAGGGGAAAGGCGGCCCTTAAAATGTTAGACATGGAAGTGCAGGAATGAGATTGAGTAAATTATTTAACTTGAGAGGACGGTTTACAACTGCGTGTCGAATATTGGAAGCTGAGTTATACTCCATCTCCTCTTGGCTGGAGCAAAGTCGAACCCAGTCCCCTAGCTTTAAAAAGAAAGGATTGGATCTTCCAGGTGGTGGATTGCAACATAAGTTTGCATTTGGCAGAAATTTTGAAATTGCGATTCAATATTTTAGTGAACCACTATCCTTAATGAAAGCTTAAGTGAATGATCCCCTAGAACAAACAACCAGATAGTTGATCTTAAGGCCTTACAAAAACGATTTTAACTTCGTTTGTTTCTTAAAACTGCTACATTTACTTTGGTTAAGCTTAAGTGTTTGGTGCATGTGATTTTTTCGTTCTCGGATAAGCAAACTAATTAAAATAAAGTTTCGGCATTGCTTGGTTTAAGGTTACAATGCAACAGTTTATTTATATTTCACAAATTAAAATTGCTGAAATAATTAGACGTCAAAAAATTGTCCAAGGGAACTGGTTAACTTTCTCCAAATAATTCTTCTACGTAAAACCCTGTAAAATAAAACCCTTTAAATATAACTCTGAATTAAGCCTTGTTCTGTTAATTAAACCCTGTGAATATTTTGTGACTACGACCTTACGAACAAAAACCCCGAATTAAAATCCTGTCCCGCCACGAATAGAACTCTGCCGTTTAAGCCTAAGAAAAAACGCAGAATATAACCCTGTGATTAAACTTCCGAAATAAAACATAACCCTGTTCTGTGAATAAAATCCTGTGAATTACACCCTGTTTTGCGAATTAACAAATTGCATGATAAAATCCAGAGTATTTAAAGGAAAAATATCGAGGAGTATTTTTTGATGGGGATAATAACTTTTACTCTTTATTTTCGTTTTATTGTATAACTTGAATGGGTTAGTGAGATTTCCAGGTTTAAAGTTACTTATACAAGTAATTAAAGATAACCTATTGCAGCTAATACTGTTTCAGATGAATTAAAACCCAGATTTATGTTCAGTCAGAGTTCTCAGTCTCATCCAGCTGCCTCTCCATCTCATCGAGTTCTTTTAAAGTAAAAAGAAAGTAAAACAGGAAGTTGAACAGTGAAACTGAAAGAGTAATTTTCAAGTGTGCCCATTGTTTTTGAATCCAAAAATAATAGAAGTCGTTACGTCACGTTGCCACGGTAGCAAAAATTTTGGATGACAACAGACAGATAAAGTCACTTTAAAGTCTTTTCGCACTATTTCAAGCTTTACCGATCTCATTCAATTTCATTTAATTTGGCAAATCTTGGCGAAACTTCCTTTGGGACCGTATCTATTGTTATCTAAGTTTAGAAAAAGAAAGCGACAATTTTTGTAGTGTGTTCACTTACTCCATAAAGCGGGCTAGTGAAATTAGGAAGTTTCTCATGTCGTAGTGGTGCAACGACGGCAAAGAAATGATCAAAATAGCGTGATGCACGTGCAAAGCTGTTGTTTGTTAATATAAACATATTATTTTCTGCCTTTCTCCTTGCCGTCGCCGTCGTCGTTGGTTTTGTTGTCATCCAGAAATAGTGCTACCATGGTAACGTGACGTCACACTTCTCCTCTCTATAGGCCCCTGATCTACAAGGTTTAGACTGCGACCAGTTCCTTTTCCTTTTCGGTCAAGGCCCATGCAGGGGAGTCTTTTTACATCCGAATATTTTAAATGATATTTCTCCGCATTAGCTTCGACCTCAATCTAGTTTCAGATCATTTCCGAGAATACGAAAAACCCCTTGCAGTAGGGGCAGTTTACAGGAGTAACGTTCTCTCCTCCGCAGAGGCCTGTTACGGAAGGGTCTCGTAGGGAGGCTGGGAAGAGGGGAAACAAGAAAGCGCGCGAAGGACGTTGGGAAGGGGAAAGAGAGGAAGGAAGTTCCCCGCCCTTTCTCTCCTCCCATCGTCCACCGCGCGCTTACTATTTTTTTTAATTATTACTGGAATATCCAGCGGGATCCCTGCAGAGGAGAAAGGGAGGGACGAAAACACAACTGAGGACAAGTTAATGACGTTAACATCTCGTAAAGACTAAAAGCGCCCCGGTCCCGCGGCTTTCGTGTGAACAGTAGTAAATTTATAAATTGTATTAGTTTACTCAACTTAGAGGAGCTGGTTTTACGAATTTTGTCAAAATTCAAACAGTGGGAAGTATCACCAAATTGAGAGGAACACCAGATAACCGCTCAAAACGTTAAAAGAAGATACAAATAAAACAGCAAATACAAAAGAAGGCAAGGTGGACAACGCTGAGGAAGATTATGACGAATTTTGAGAACTTGTTAGCCTAACAGTTTCTCAAACTTCACTTTTGTTGTTTGTAACGTTTGACAAAATGCTCAGAAGACATATTTGTTTGTCACAAAGCTGTGATTTTGTAATTTAACAGTAATATATTAGCGAACGTCAAGTTCTATGCCGAATTCGGGGCGCGTATTTGACAATATTAACAAAGTGAACTGCACATCATCGACACACACTCTTTTAAAGCCGCGTAGCTTGAAATAAAACAGGTTTTATTCAGAGTATATTAAACTAGCCTCGTGCAGATGTCTTCTATTTCCTTTGCTTTAACGGAGGGGAAAACTAGTTCAAAAGTAAAAGAAAAACGTTGATTCTTATTACTAATCGGAATCCTCACCTTTTCTCATAGTATCAAATGCACTCTCCAAACTCTTGAACTTGTCATCGAGTTCTGTGTTTTAGTAGAACAAACATGAATCGTGAAAAAAATAATCATCATTGTTATTATCATCATAATCATAATAGTTATTAAAACAGTGATGATCATGATCATTATGACGGTGATAACAATAATAATCAATTGTACTGAAAATAGAACAATTTTTTTCTTTGAAGTTCTTGAAGAGTTAGTGAAGTTGGCTGAGTGGGTGTTTTTAATTCACTTCTCTGTGACAGGCCGTATCGTTTAAACACTCCTTGCGTGATCAATAACTCAAGTTTAATTTTCTCAAATTAAGATCATTTGTTTAGATCACTGACATGGTAGGGAGTCCCTCTTCTCTTAATCAATCCATTTTTGGATCAATAAAAGATTGTGGAAAACTTCCCATTTACCCCTCCCCTGACCCAACATTTTGCACTAAGCGAGAGAATAAGTTGAGGTTGACTGAATTAGGGGAGGGGTGGGTGGACGAAATAGCAGAGCTGGTCAGTCAAATTGTTATTCCGAAGTCAAGGAACGGGGAAAGATTACGGAAACCCTTGGCGAGTGATACTGCCGTGATCAGCCATTACTTTATCTCAACACTAAAAGAAAGAAAGAGGGGCGATCGTTAATGAGAATAACTACCTTGAGCATCAGTGTTGGTTGTCAAATTGTCCTCGCTCGGTTCATCATCCTCAGCTTCATCGCTTTCTTCGTCTTGTTGCTCTTCATCATCTTCCGAATACTCGTCCCTGGCCTCCTCGTTATCGTATGCTTCATCTTCGGCCTCATTGTCCAATTCGTCGTCTTCCGATTCATCTTTGACCTCATCGTCCCATTCATTTTCGTTAGATTCATCTTCGACCTCATCGTCCCGTTCATTTTCGTTAGATTCATCTTCGACCTCATCGTCCAATTCGTTTTCGTTATATTCACCGTCGTCCCATTCGTTGTTGTCCTCCTCATCGTCCCATTCGTCGTCATCCCATTCCTCATCATCCCACGCGTCATCCTCTTCCCAGTCCTCAGCCCAGTCCCTTTCTGTCGACCAGTCATCTGGCGCGGGTTTCCCCATGGCCCACGATAAAGCAATCAGCAGCAATAGAGTCTTGATGAAATGCTCCATGTTAATCTAGCTCGATTACAATGAGACGAGATAATACATATTTTAATAGTTATAATGAGAGAAACCTTCATTTACATGCAACAGACCAGTTTCTTACCTGCGTGCAGTCTCCTATTTCCTAGAAGACATCTGCACGCAGGCAAGCCAGTTTCCTATTACCAAAATTCATTCTCGGCCTAGAGGGTGAACGGAATAAAACAAAAAAAATGAATTAATCATCCGTGAATTTCATTGATCTTTTTTTGTTTTATGTCCCTCAGCTATGACTTTTGATTATTTGTTAGAGGGCTATTATATTAGAGTTTAATATACCGGTAACACTTTTTTTTACACACGCGAGTGATCGCATATTTTTAAGCGGCTGAGGCAAGACATGTTTTTTTAAAAATAGAACTTGCGTCTGCCGCGCCATTCATGGCAACGTTATTTGCCTTAAAAATATGCAATAGCGTTACCCCCCCCCCCTAGAAGGGGGTACTCAACAAAGTGTTACAGGGGGAGGCTCTTTCCCCAGGGCCAACCCCTTACCCTTTTATACACCACTTTTGACAAAAAAGGTACCCCTTCCATATACCTTCTATTAAAAAATGGTGCCTCTTTCTCTTAGTCTTCTTTTCCTTATATCTAAGGTGAATTTGTTAAGAACATATCACTTAAGCGCCCTCAAAATACCTATATTTCCCTACCCTTTCACACACCTCAACTCGTGAAATTCCTACCCTTTCATATACCTGAAGCCTGAAAAAGGTACACTGTACCCCTTTCGAGTGGAGCTTCCCCGAGAGAGAGTACCCCCTCTCGGGTCGCACAAGCGTATTAATAAAAGAGAAAGCATGAAAAACAAGACATGCTGAGCCTCTTACAGGGTCCATGATATCCCTTCCAAAGTTGATTGACGTAATAGTGTTGGACCTTTCCACGCATCACTGAATAACTTACAAGTACTTTCTACATTCACGCCCCTAAAGGAGGCGATTACATTTCACGTTAAAACGTTAAAAATATTTCGCGAATTTTCCTTTAACTTGTTTGAGGTGTTCTTTTGAATTATAATGTGAACTTGACTTGATTTATTCTTTGAAAGATCTAAGGCCGATAGGTATATTTGCTGCAGCCATATTTAACCATCCTGATGTTAATTGTTTCCTATGCCATTAGACAGAGCCAGAAACTCATAACCCCTTATGAGTTCTGACAGAGCCCAGGCAATGCAAGATAACTTCCTCACCATGGTACAGTTTAAGTCGGGAAAAGACATTAAATAGATTTTTATAAGTATTCGCCTTAAATTCAAAATTGTTCCTCTTTTCTTGAATGTTGTTGTTAAGATGCTTTTATCCTCTGTCACGTTTACACTTTGCTATTTTTGTATTATTCGATCTCTAGTAAGAATGGTAATGAGTGTTTTGCCATTTTCGCAAATAGAAACAATCAGACGCAAAAGCTATCAGCAAGTATTACTGTTTGCTCACTTGCGGGCTAACTGTCTATTTATAACGTAAAGACAACACGTGTGCTGTCCTCTCAACTGCAACTTTTCCACACTTTACATTGCTTAACCTGACTATCTCAAACAAACGTATTGGAAACCAAAAGACTCCGTCACACACCCAGCTCAAGATTCTCCAGTGCATGTTAATATTGAAATCGAGTTTCAGCGTGCGTCACAATTGCCGTACTTTAACATTTTTTTTATCTTGTTTTATTTGTATTGTAGTCCTCTAAAACATTAAAGCCATTTGTCATCACTCGATTTAATGCTGGGCAAACAAAGTTCGATGACTTAAATTAATCAGTTGAGCTCTAAATTCTCTTGCAACGCGTCTTTCAACCAGACAAAGAATAGACAAAATGTCAGTGCGAAACTTGAAACATATGACTTGTTATTTTGCCAAACAAAGATATTTATGTTTTCAGAAGGAAAGCGCCTTAAATTTATTATTTCGGTGTCTAGTAGGATTTCATAAAAACACCCAAATTGTATTTATTTATATTTGCGATACGTGAATAATTCTCTCATCATGTTCCAAATATTTTTAGGGGACTTTCTTCGAAGATAAAAGAAAAATTAGTGCTAACATACCTTTCAATTTTCTGATGCAAAAGAGTTACGCTTCCTTTCACTAAAATCGCCGAGATTGAATGTTGAATGTAGAACCTCTTGGTCCAAATGGTGCGTAAAACAAAATATTTCAATTTTAAATTACCTTTTTTTCCCATAGAAACAGTAAGTGCTTGTTGGGCATGCAAAACTTCAGAGTCATATGACGAAATTAAAAGGGTTGGTCAACAGTCTCAGGGTTTTCGTGTATTAAATTTAGTACTTTTCCTTTTAATCCTCGCCGAGATTTAATTCGATCTAGAAAAGCCTTTTAATTGGTTTAAACTGTGTCCTTAGCACAGCTAATGTTTCTAAAAAAGAATAATGGGGTAAGGGAATGTTTAAGATTTATGAAGGAGACATTTTAATTCAGGTATAAGTGATGAAAAATTAGAATTTGAAGATAAAGACAAACACTAGTTCGCTACCACAAGATATCACTTTACTCGTTAGAGAACTAACTGGTTTATGTGAAAACCCTTTAATTTCCAACCCTTTTTTCAAAAATTTTAATCTCCTCTCTTTTCCTAAAAAAAAATCATCTACAATGCCCCCTTAAGTTGATGAAACAAATATTAACGAAACAAATTTAATTTTAGACGAGAAGTCCATGTGTACAATTAAAGCATTTTTATTTTGCTGATTACCAAAAGAAATTATACAACGTAAACCGCCTGGTTTGGAATTGATTATGCGGAAGTCAGTCCTGCTTTATTTACATGGAGAATAGATTTAAAAACCCGTCAAAAATTGCCAGAGAAAATGTCAAAGAACAAGGAAATGCAAGTCCAAGGAAAGTGTAAAGTTTGTTTTTAATTAGGTCCCATTTATACTGAGGTCGCTTTAATGAGATCCATCTGAGATCGATCTTATATTTGGTCAGTCTTATCCTCATTTACTCCAAAAAATTGTGGCGGTCCAAATTTTTGGTCTGCACTGTACGCCAACTGTCGTTACCGAAACACAAAGGTAATATTTACTACTATGTTTTTCAACGTTCATTAAGCGCTTTCTTCAGACGAGTTTCTCAGGCATTAAATTTTCCGCTGTTTTGAAACTAGAAATAAGTGTTGTTTAGTATAATTACATTGATGATTATTCGAGAAAATAAAATTATTGATCAATTTCCGACTCCGAAACATTAACAGATCTGGCTGCCACTTTGAGAACTGCTAGCCTTCAATGTTATAATCATCGCGCAGTGATTGTAGCGGGATAAAGCCAATCATAGCGCTCTATTTTCGATAATCATCAATGCAATTATACTGATGGCTGATAAACAAAATAATTGAAGGCCGACAGGTACAATAAGGACAAAAAATTAAAGAAAAGAAATAGTGCTAACCACACTGCTTCCTGTACCATAAAGATCAACTTCGCTTGACAAAATCGACAAAACCGCAACCGACTACTTTGTTCGAAGAAGCAGAAATCAGTCGACTGTGTTTCCCATAGAAACAGAACTTTTTAAGCAGGCATGCAAGATCAGTCACGTGTAACAAGCAGTAAGAGACTCGAGCGGGCAAAACGCTGTTAGGAGTGCCTCGCATTAGACGGATACAGGCCCCGCGCAGTTCCAAACTCTTCTTCACATACGCTCTTCTACATCTTTAAGCGGACATCTCTATCAAGAGGACACATGCTAACAAGAGTCTGTGTTTGCCCGCTTAATTAACCTGAGGATTTGGCCTTCAAGCTATTAAAACACATGACGTTTCGGCGACGACATGTCACCATTTAATAGCGAATGCAAATGAACAGAGAGGATTGCATTTGATAATGGTGACATATCGTCGCAGAAACGTCATGTTTTTATCGCGTTACTTTTTGTGCTTAAATGTTTTTGTTATTAGCAGATTAGACCTTTCTTAGGGATAAGGAACAGACTTAAAAAGACGAAGGGTGGGGGGCGAAGGGGGAAAAGCTCCGCAGCCCCCTTATTTTTAGACCAAAAGAGTTGTACAGTACCGCAAATGATCCCCAACCGCAAATGATCCCGAGACCGCAAATGATCCCCAAAATGGACCGCAAATGATCCTCGACCGCAAGTGATCCCCAAAGTCGACCGCAAATGATCCCGAAAGAAAAATAGGAATGGCTTAGACTCGAGTTAGCGGATCGTCGTGGCAATTTTATTATTAATACAAAAAGTAAGATTAAACGCTAAATTTCAGTTCTTAAATAAATACGTATATTCATGAATAAAAACTAAATGAAAAAAATCATTCAAGTGTAAAACGAAGTCGGTAGGCAACACACGACTTTTAGCTCATGCCAAAATGCTGCTTGTTCCAATGAATTTTTTTCTCTGGCGGGTAGATTATACCTGAAGGAAAACGTTTTGACTGAGCAAATGTGATTTTTGCCGCTTATTTCATACTGAGAGGTCATGACACGCATTTTCTGCGGTTATTGTTGTTTGTGGTCGGCATGATTTGCTGGATTTGTCCTTTAATGCAAGAGCACTTCTTTGACCTCTTTTGAAATGCAATGCTTCTCATTCCGGCTAAATAAGGGTTTTAGGTTGTTTAATTTTCTTTAAAGTGCCTCATGGATCCGAACAATCATAAGCGACTTTCTTTTAGTCCGTGAATGTGACGGTTCCTACGATGTTTTGTCACGCGATAACTACCGTGACCAGCTTACTAGAATGGGAAGGCTCCCTCAAACACCATCAAAGCAATGAACGATCACATTCACTGTGACAAAAATTATTATTTTCAAAAGTTGATAGTAAGTTTAGCCGATTAACTGATTATGAGAAAGTTCTTATCCATTTGGAAGTTAACTACAGTACGTTAAAGTCTACTGTTTTAAGCTTAATTTTGAAATAGTTACTAAACAAGACACTGCGATGCGTTTCAGCTGTGTTTCTTTGATTTAATGAACTTTTAATAACGGTATGTTGAAAGTTTATTTTTTGTTTGCTTTTATTTGAAAGAAATATTTTCATTTAGTTTTTATTTATGTAATTATTTGGGAAGCAAAATTTCGCTTTTAATGTTACTTTTTGTAATAATAATAATAAAATTTACACAATGATCCGCAAACTTGAGTCCAAGCCATTCCTATTTTTCTTTCGGGATCATTTGCGGTCGACTTTGGGGATCACTTGCGGTCGAGGATCATTTGCGGTCCATTTTGGGGATCATTTGCGGTCTCGGGATCATTTGCGGTTGGAGATCATTTGCGGTACTGTACAGTACCCCTTATCTCAGGGTCTGGATGACCGCCCCTCCCCCCTAATCTGAAAGTATGGATCCGCCACTGTCTCCCATTCTTCTCTCTTGATTTGGCCTAAGAACAAGAACAGAACCAAGAGCAAGAACCTATCGACTAAACCCTTTCACTGTCAAACTTTAGCCAAAGGCAAATTTCAACCAAATGTCCAAATTTCATTTTCTGAACGTTTGAAAAACAAATAGCACCACGTGTAAGTACAGGCAGGGAGCTTTCATTTGAATGGTCACATCATAGGTTTCCGTCCGCAGACTCAAAAGTTAGAGTCATGAGAGGGTTAAAACCCATTTGTTTTTCAACAAACGCCAACAAGTCGCCAAATGAGCTGATTTTCAATAGAATAACGTAGAATCTCGTAGACGGTATTTATTCCACGACCACAATGCACATGCGAACACAACATACAGAAATAGAACATATAAAAAGTCGATAGTAAAGCGTAATATATCGTCGAATGAAAATCCTTAAGATTTTATGAATGGAATTGCATTTCTACTTGATTATTACGACATTCATGGTGAGCAATGTATTTATAAATTTTTATTATTGTCTATAGAATTTTTGTCACCAGGAAAAAAACAACCTACAACCCAACTTACATATTTTAACAAAGAACAAAAAAATGTTTCCTTAGCCTGTGTTCAGAAGATTTTAAGGAAAAGAAGACTATGTACAAAGGCTAACTTGCATATTTTTGTCGTCAAATGTTCTTGGAGCATGGCATCATTCACCTCGATCACCAGCTGCTGTTCAGGGAAATGAGCCCACCCTCCTCACCACGAAAAGAGAGTAGCGATCCTGTAACATTACAACATGATACATCCAGTTGTCATTCAGCCGTTTAACCTGGCCACAGGGTCTTGTCGCTGTGTATTAGGTTATACAGTTGGCATTCTTTGATACCAACCGGCAAGTAAGTTGATTACCATGCAAACGCATAACAAGTCAATCCTCTGGCCAGTTGGTAGTCCTGTGGCCAAGTCTTGTGATTTGACAGCAGTTGCCACCACAAAAGGTGATGTCATCTGTTGGCTGCTGAAGTAAGGTCTAAAGGGTTGGATACGCGAAAGATGCCAGAAAGTACTTGACTGAACGAGTGAAACATTTCTTCGGATATACCCTGAAAGTGAAAGGGACAATACCAGTAAGAAAATCTGTAAGAGACTTGGTCTTCTCAAGCGTTCGAAACGATTTCTTACATCCCGTGAAAGGGCTGTCTTGTACAATGCTCTGGTGCAGGCTGTGTTGGATTACGCTGCCTGCGTATAGGGTGACAGCTTCATTGGTCATTCTAATACTATGCTCCGCCTTCAGAAGCGCGCTGCTAGAATAATTATGGATGCTCCGCGAGACGCTCCTTATACGGCTCTACTCAGCGATCTTAACATTCACCCATTTCAAGAGCAATTGCGAAACTAAAGGCAAAGATAGTTCTTAAGGCATTAAATGGTCTGCTGCCCAGCTACATTGCTGAAAAGTTTTTAAGATTCTGCGCAGTCTATTCCAGGGAAACAAGAAACAGTAATTAAACAATAATACGGACAGCGCCCATTTATGTTCAGTGGCCCGTATCCCCTGTTTCCCCTGTGCCCCGGTGTTTCCTGTGGAACCTGTGGCCCCTGTGTCCCCTGTGCCCCTGTGTCTCCTGTGTCCCTTTTAGTGTGGAACCTGTGTTGCCTGTGGCCCCTGTCCTGTCCGGTCTTGTCTTGTCTTGCCCAAGGAAAAAGAATCCCCCGGCCGACTTCTGGTTGTACAAACATTCACTTTAACATCTGTGCTATTACCGATGCGATTGAAATAATTACAATAAAAGTAATCCTCACTCGTCAATTCAGTCATCTCAAAAACGGTAAGTGACCCAAGACTGAAACAAATACAATAGCACACGAAACTTTTATTTTGCAAAGTTTTGAAGGACCTATTGTTGAAAAGCTTTCTCTTACATAGTCTCTGTTAACTAGAGCCACAAAAGTTATAATCACCTTTTCTGGCGAATCATAAGTACAACTAAAAGAGAACAAGGGACCTAAAAATTATAACGAGGCTGACACTCTTTACGTTGACACTGAGGGTGGTTACCAGAATTGGCCGGCTATACTGTTTTTGAAAACTTTAATGGGCTTTTTACGAGAGTTTTCGATAGAAAACCGTCAATGCCGTGCAAACTGTTTAGGAATAGACTGATTCGGTCGGATAGTCCAGAGTTACAATGAATTCTCCATATGGTGTCAGGTCGATTCGCCCGAAGTGTATTTGTCTATTTTTCTATGAAAAAAGGAATAAGGATGGAAAGACAGTGACTGCAAATATCGAATCCAAGGTTAACTAAAATTACATCTAGGAGAAGTATGTTCACCATGCTGTAGAGTGTTGTAAGTCATCGGGCGAATCGACGTAAGTCCTGACGAACACCATCGGGCGAATGGACTTTCGGGCGAAAAGACCATGAATATGACTGGACAGGTCTGGCCAGCCAGTTCGGACCAATATTAACTGCCCTATTAGGCATACATAAGTTCTGCCAATTTAAAGGGTACCAACCTTAGGTACCATGAACTGCAAGTTAAGTGACTCTGATCCACTCCAATTGCTACACTCCATCATAAAACCTGCATCAGTAGTAACATATACAAAGAACAGATTCAACAACCCCTAGTTGGAATAACCATTCACCTATTCAGAACTAGAGAAGTTAATTGAAGGCGTTAGCATGGACCTGATTTCAAACATTTCAGTAGTACTATGTAAAATGATATCAGAAGTGTTATTTTAACTAGAGCAACTTGACGAGACTTTAACTAATACCGCCACCTTTCATATAATCAGTTCCACGACGATAACCTTTTAAAGAGACCGTTCCTGGTCAAAAGGCAATTCACGGCGTTTCATCGCGGGAACATCGGTGCGAATAAAGCTCCCACCAGGTGTATGGGAGTTCATAGATTCGAATCCTGCCAGGAACTAAGGGTTTTTTCTTTGTTCCTGCATGAACGTAACATGGAAGTAAGTTTATTACACCTTTTTCATCACTACTGGGCTTAAAATTCGCCATCTTTCTGTATCGTTCTTCATCTGACATGGTTGATGCAACATGTTGGATCAGTTCGATCACTGTGTCGGATCAAGTTCAACCTTTTCGGCCTGTTCAAACAAATCAAAACCACCCTTTAATATGGGTTATTCTCTCTTGATGCTTACAATTTGGCACTTGTAGAAACCAAAAGGAAACTGGACTGAGCTAACTTTCGCAAAGACTTTTGGGATCGTCACTTGAGACCTGCAAGTCACCTATTGGCCAATTTTTTTCCGGTCACCAGCAATAGTTCCAGAAGTCTTTGCAAAAGTTAACTTGACCCAGTTTCCTTCTCGCTTCAAAAGTGGCCAAATGATCGTTACTATGTGACGTATGTTCCCAATTTTCTGTTCACGTTTACATTCTAGTGGCTTGTCGTTACCTTTGACGCATTTTAATATCAGCTCTGCCCTTTTCATACACCAGGACACAGTCATCTCCTGAGAGAAAAAAAATCAAATTTATCTTTTTAATACTGAAATTGTGTAACCATGTGAAAATGCCGTGTTCCAGTTGGGTAAAAAAATTTGGAGGGGGTGCGTTATGGTCAGGTAAACCATAATGTACCCCCTTCAAATTTTGTATAACCATTGTCGTCTATTTCTCTTGCAATGATTGTAATGCCCAGGAGAAATTATTGACAATAGTTATGCAAAGTTTTGTGGGTAAACTGACAAGATCCATGATGGTCTATATGAACATGTGAATTAGGTGTGAGAAAATACATGCACAGGCAAACTAACCTCGGTCATCTCATGAAATAATAGTAGTGGGATAGTAATAGTGGTGATACTGTGTCTGACAGCTGTGTGTAATGCATTCCGTAAACCCACAATCACAGGATTCCTGGTGCTGATGTTGGACGCTTTCAAACTATCATCAACCACCAAGTGAAAAACCACATGTACTTCAGCCAGGTTTGAGTGTCGTGTGATATAAATTTCTCCTAGATATGACAATAATGAACATTTTATAATCATGAAACAATGAAAAAAAAATCAAGAGATCATGATCTGGTTTCCACTAAATAGGGGTACACTACAAGCACTTCACACAGGTTTGAGAGCCACGAGATTAAAATTTTCCCTCGAGAAAAAAATGTTCTTTTATATATTTATTACAAAATAATTCCAAAACGATCACTATCTACCGTTAGTAGTATAATGTAATGCAGTTATTGTTACTATCCCTAACATTGTTTATCTTGCAATATTATTGCATATTGCTTGGCTTTGCACAAGTTCCATGTATGCTAAGACTTCCATGCCATAATTATACTGAATAATGAGACTGAATAAGCAGCCTTTGGGCTCCTTGCTCCTGACTAACACAGTCCATTGCACTTCAAGGCCTGGGGCTGAATTAGCCTAATATAAGGCTCTATTTTTGTTTGGTAAAGGCAATTACCAAAGAGAATGTAAGAAAATTAGTGAACATGGGGTCTGATCACAGGTTAGGGCTGACGTTAGGCTACTCATTGTGAACTAAACTAACCTGTATTGAGAGTTATTGGTCGTAGAGCCACATCAGCTGCAGGTTGTTGTTGTTGCGGTTGGTTGCTGGATGTGGATTTTGTGTGCTCTCTCTTTTCAAAATTTTGTTGAATGATACAAAGCTGTTTGTCAAGATCAGGAAAATGAAATTCTGTTCCAGATTGCTGACAGATCTTGGAAAAATCTGAAAAAGCAACAATTAAATGCTGCATTCACTTTATGATGAGGATAATGTGCACTGAGGGTTTGAAAGCATCTTGAGGTACAGTAAAGCCATTTATTCATTTAAAATCATCAATTGGCAGTCATGCCACTGTCACCAAGGAAAAAGAAAATGTTGTTAATGATGTCTCTTTTTATTTACTGTCTAAATGTGGGAATTGTGCATTGTGGATGCTTATTATACGCTTATAGTAATAAATATAACAGACAAAAGCAACAGAATATATGTTGCAGTTAATTTTTTATCTCTGGTAATTTTTGTTTTTCTTTTGTTTTGGGTATGCTAATGTAGCTAATGAAGTTGAAACAAAGGAAAAATAAAAATTACCTGAGATAAAAAGTTAACTACAACATAAATGTAAAATGTAAAAACCATGCATTGATTTAATATCTTACGTTTCATAATTCCTGAGTATGTGTTAATGCGATCCTCCACCAACAGAACTAATCCTGACAGTGTTTCGGAGTAGAGTGACAAAGCTGTCTGTATTCTGTGAGGCTGTGACAACACTGATCTAAATCAAAAAACAATTTATTTTCTGTTTGTGTCTGGTGGTTCATTTTTATCCTTGATTTCAACAACAAACAACAACATTAATAATAACATCTGAGCAGTTTACAAATGGAAATTGACACACTATAGCTAACTACTAAACAAAGGTAAGTTTACAGTTCACTAAAACACCATAAATTAGAGAAACCTTCCTTGATTGACACTACTAACAAATGGCACAGGCTAATCACAGCAGGCAGCAACAATAATCAATAAAAAGCTTTGAACAAGTTTAGGGATGTCACTAAAATTTCAAGTTACCGGATAAATACAACAAAACAAGGGAATTAAACAGCTAGGGATTTCTTTTGGTTTCTTTTTCCTATTATTAAGAATAAAAGTTAAAATCTGAGTTTTCATTGCAAACAACAACTATAGAGAATCATGGTTATTGAGAAGTTTTTACCCTCCAGGCCTTGTCTTGTGCTTGCACAGGTCAAGAACATTGCCGCAGATCAATCGAAGATTGTGTGTTGTTTTCTTTTGGGCTCCTGCCATAGAAACAGATATCATATCATAGTATGTTTTTTTGGTGTGTGGTCTAAAGGATAATTGCAAAAAATGCACTCAAAGATGATAGGATATTAGGTACAGGACAGTGTACTTTCCCAAAATTACATCACTTTTGAGATATATAATAATATAATTTACTAAATTATTAAAAAACATTGTACTCTTTATCTGTTTTCGTATCGCCTTCAGAACCTGTGAGCATTGTGTTATTAGATGCACTTCTACAGAAAAATGGAAATTTATAGACCCACTGTTATTGTCTCACCAACAAAATCAGCTTTTAATCATGACAAAAAAAGGGAACTTGAACACTTTGATTGTCTCAATATGAACCTCAAACTACATCATGTATTTGTTTGACTTTCTGGTTATTGGGTACTGTTCATAAAAGTATTTCAGATTGCCTGATGTGGATTGTGGTAGCAAAAGACTGAACACCTAGGAGAGGCTTGTATTGTACTTACCAAGAAGAACAGTAAAACTTTCCTCAAGCCTAAATTCATGTTCACTGCTTGAAAATTCATTCACTGGTATGCTCTGCACAGATGGACTGCGACTCCTGTATAAATTTAATCCATACCATTTTTGCAGGTTAAAACAGAGCTTTCTATTGACCTCAAATGATTGTTCCAAATTTCTGACCAGCTTATATCACTCCCTGTCTCAGTTGAGAGACAACTGTTGTCACCAGATATAGACTGCCTTTTTATACCCCTCTTAAACCAGTGGAGGATTTTAAAGTTTTCAGACTCGAACTGGTGACTCCAGTAAAATTCCCTAAGGGATGATTTGAAACTTTTGAGGATTGATGAGGAGGAAATTGGCCCATAATGTTCGCTAACTCTCACTCTGAAACCTAATTTAATTGATTATACAATTTCAAAATTAAATTTCAGCAATTACATTCATTTGCTGTGTGACAACATCATTTTTGTCACATAATTGCCTGATCTGAATGCCTGCTCAAGTGTGTGACATGGCTACTTAGGGAACAATGTGAGAGTGTCCGTTGACTTAATTTCACAGTTAAGGTAAAAAATACTCACTTGCCAATTGTAAATGAATCAGAGGTTGATGACGGATCTGTGAAAAGTAATCATAAGTTTATTATATTAAACATTTTGATAATGAAAATCATCATTGTCATTATCATTTTCTGCTTGAGCACATAACATCTCCAGGACAGAGAAACTTATGACCCTAAAATCCCTGGGAAAGTTAGCTATTTGAAAAAGCCAGAGTTCTGGCAGGCTCTGGTTTGACAGGCTAAGAGTTTCTTTCACCTTTATAACCATGAAAATAGTGCAGATGATTAAACCATAAAAGAGAAGTGGCAAACCTGAGGTGACACGAACCACGTCTTCATGAACTTTTGTCACCCATTCTCGGTACTCTCTTTTTTGTAGCTCCTGAAGTTGTGACAGCTCACTGGACCAGTATGTCTCGAGCATCTATGAAAAAGTATCTTCCATGAAATTATGTACATAAAAACCTTAGCACTAACTTTAGGCTCTTGACACAGACAAAAATCTCTCTTGATTCAGCTGGCATGAGGGAAAATAAAAATAAAACTGTTTACTTAGGTACATAAAATTTATATCAAGAGAGGGTGGGTGTCTACAAGAAAGAACTCTGACCAAGGAGATCTCAACAGAGTTTGTAACAAAAATCTGACTAACTTGTGCATCTTCACAGTGTCTGGCTGCCAGATCATTGACGTCTTTGTCAGTAGTGACAAGGCCAAGGTTGTTAATGGAGTCTTCCATTTCTTGTTGTTGCCTTAATTGAAAGAGTAGCAAAAACACGTGTCAGCTATAGTAATGAAATGAATTATTCTAGAAGTAAAATTACATGTTCCATGTTAATGTATAGTAACTAGATTTCCCTACATTACGAAACAAACATATAACTGTTATTAAAATAATATTCTCTTATGAAATTAACCCTGTAATTTCTTAAGAGACAAATAATAATATTTTATTGCCAATAACTTTGGGAATGATTTACAATTTTTGTTATTAAATTTTCTCCACCAAATTGCCTTACAAAGATAAGATTTGATTAAAGAGTACTTTTTATGGAATACATACAACCATGATTTGCAATCGACTTGGTTTTCAGTTTTTGGGAAGCATTAATGAAAGGGTTCTATAACATACTTTTCTTCCATGGTTTTTATTGCACTCTCCTTTTTTGTGACAGCATCATCCATTGCCAAAGCATAAGTGTTCTCAAGCTGCAAAAGAGTTTCAAGGGCAGATGAATGAATCAAAGACTTGTACATCTCGGAGAATACAGTCTCCTCACTCTTATCACTAACAGAACTGTAGCTGCAGTGCTCCTGAGTGAAGGCATTTGTCCATGATGTCACATAATCACTTGCATACTGCGATGACTGTTTCATTTGTTCAAGAGCTGTACATGCCATTTTGTCATGGAGTTCTTGATAAGATGACTGGTGAAACTCATCCAAAGTTTTTGTCAGTTCTAGAAGAGAATGGAGCAAAAGAATTCCAGTTGGCCAGTTTTCCAAAGGGAGTTATTTAATATTAGCAAATACATTCTCTTACTAGACTAGACATGTTAGGAAACATACATACCCCGTGTATGTTAGCACCACAACAAAAACCAATACCATATATATAATCATATACTTGTTTATTTCATGAATCTACAAGTAACTGAGGAACACTATGATAGATGGATGTGATCTTATTACAAATTGCTATAGTGAGATCTAAGAATAATCTTGTAAAAGATAATGAGTCAGAGTTGAAAACCATTGTTTCCAATCACAAAGACATTTGAGCCTTTGCACAACTGGGGCAGAGTTGTATAAACTCCTAAGGCCTGTTTCTTGGAAGTGCCGGTAACGAGTGATGATGGCTATCACATTCAGTGCTGTCAACTCTCCTGGATAATCCGGGAGACTCCAGATTTTGGACCGTATCTCCTGTTCTCCAGATTAGAGTATGAAATTACCCGGATATTCACCAACTTTCCAACAATAAACTTTGCGTTGTTTGAGCTATTTTATTGTTAACATCGAACGTTTCTTCATAAACTTTGGTATGGTATATTATACCTTTGCAATATATGCAATAATGTGAAACATCGTAATTTCCTGACGATCGGGTCAACGAGTATTTTTTGCACAAATGACGTCATATACCATGCGATATGATGTCATCTATCATCCCTTCCCTATCACTTCTCAATATTTCAAGACGTTGGGGGTTCACACACAAGCACTTCTTAGAATTGAGAAAATCACATAGTTGTACTTGTTCTCATCTTAGAATCTAAAAGTCTCTACTACTGGGACTGTTTAGACAAGGTCCATGGTTAGCTCTATTAATTCTGAGTTAACTATAAATGGAGCATATGACTCTTTACAGTTACTCACCCTGTAGTCGAAAGATATGAAATATACCCCTGCTTTTTCAGCTGGAAACACCCTCTCATTCCCCTACCAGCCCCACCCCCACAACCCCCCGCCCCAAACCTTCCCCAGTACCCCTCACCTGATTCAAGGTAGCAAGGCAGGTTGTGAAAATGGATCAATCTTTGGACAAATTCCTTTGCAGTAACTTTCATAGGAATTGGTATTGGTACAGTAAGTCTCTGAATCTTTCCACTATCTTTGAAGTCAAACACAAAGTCGCGCTTCTGATCATCATAAGTTGAGCAGAGTAACACATCCACCATTTTGGAACAATTTGATGTTACCCTGCTACTGCAGATCTCTATTTTTACATCTAATCGCCTCGAAAATATTAAAGCAAAACCTTGTCCAAACGTCCCTCCTTGAAGAAATGCTGCTTTAATCGTCAACAGAAGAAAGAAATTGATCTATTTTAGAAGAAAACAAGAAGACTCTGGGTAAGATATCGATTGGAGTTTCCGCTGACAGAGGAGAGGGACTGGTGACTCTAGCTTTATGAGCCCGCAAATTGTACAGCTGACACCTCGGAGAATCCAAGATGGCGGAACAGGGAGAGCATATCCATGGTAAATTTTCTAGTTTTATTTGTATCTTTGATCTTGTAGTTGAAATGTTGGTGTTATAATTCTGCCTTTAAGTGATTTATTATTATTATTATTTTATCTTTGAATTATTTTTTTGGCGCTGCGAGTAGTTTAATGCTATTTCCGCAACAAAGTGCTTTGGAATCCCAAAGGATTTACCTCGGTTAATTGAGATTTTCTTAGGTTTGTACCTGTTATTTCCCTGCGTTGTGGACGTTGCGTTGAATTCTTTGTTTTTTTTATATTTAATTCACTAGTGAAGGTTTAATATAGGCTCATACACCTAAGATGAGCTAAAACTTTGATTTTTTCAACTGAGTACAGTTGATATTATTAAACCTAAATTGCTCACCATGGAGAGACTGTGAAGCTGATATTTAGGTCGCCATTAGCTGTAACGAAGATCTATAGATCAAAATGTCAGCTTTTCAATCCCTTGATAGTGGCCAATTTACTTTATTCACTCAGTTGATAATACTAAATCTTTGTGTTTCACTCCTCACCAATTCAAAACCACTGTTTCTTTTGAAACGGGGCTGTGTAAAATGCAGACTGCGGACTGACTGCAGACTACTGTTTTTTGGGTTAGAAAACAATGGGACTATTGTTGTCACGTACTCATTTGCATGGTGAAAACAATAGTCCGTAGTCTGCCTTTTACACTAACCATTTAGAAACAAACCTCAATACTCATTGTTCGAAGTTGGAAACACTCATAGCTGAATTTCAGGAGTGATGGCAGAATACCCATCCTCCCTAGCTACAGGGAGTGAAAGATGTTTCAAATGTATTACTTATATGATAAGACGAAAAGGGAATTGAAAAGTTGAACATGAATTTTAGCAAAGTAGGTACCTTAATTATTTTCACAAGTGAACAAGATTAAAAAGCTGTTATTAGAGGGTCGTGAAGGGGGGTACCAAATCCCAGTTCCCAGCCTAAATTTGGCCCAAATCCCAGTTCCCAGGCTAATTTTTGCCAAAATCCCAGTTACCAAATTTTCGGTGTGTATAACAGCGTTATTTGCATTGACGTACTTGATTTCTAGTACCATTTTGCGAAGAAACCTTTTCCGAAGCCATTTTTATCTTCCCTTCACAATATCTTCCCCGCCATATGCAAACTTGCAGAACTTGTCCGCTGACCAGGAAAAACTGACAGAACGTAACTATGCAACCGTGTAAGCCTGGTAGCTAGACCACGTCTTGCGAAGGCCAAAAAGACTGATTTCACAGTCTCTACTGAGGAGTGCAAGGTCTATTGCTACGAAATTTTATTTTTCTATTTCAAAATATTGGAGCAAAGACCGCTGAAGAAAAGAAATCCCATTCCCATTTTATAATTGTTCATCCCATTCCCAGTGGCTAAATCCCAGTCCCAGTGAGTAAATCCCATTTTCCCAGTCCACAATAAGGCTAATCCCAGTTCCCATTTTACCCCTTCACGACCCTCTTATTATGTTGCCCAGTGATGAGACAGAAATCAAAATACTATGTTGATTATTTTGTAGACAGTTTATCAGTTTCTTTAACAAATCCCTTCGAACGATTTGCCAATCCATGCGACAATTTTATTCATCTGTTCGAATGGTTTGCGTATCCATTAAAAAAAATTAGCATCTGATTGATCCAGAGCTCCTCTGCATTCAAACGGTTTGTGTCTCCGTTCAAAAAAAATTAGCATCCGTTCAAATAGTTTACCTATCCATTCACAAAAAATCAGCATCCGTTCAAACTGTTTTCCTATCTGTTCAAATAATTTATTGATCCTACCGTTCATAAACCGTTCGTTATCTGTGCATTTTTCCCAGTTGAACAGTTTTTGTTAGTTTCTGTTTTGCCTTTCACTGTCTCAAATAATTAATGCTTTGAGAATGAGCCATAAACATAATCTGTTTGCCTTAATTTCATGGCCATTTTTAATGGCTATACCAAATTACAGGTAGAGTTGCAGGGTACTCTGCAATTTAGCTGCCTTTCATCATGGGTTTCATGCTACCCTGTTTTACTATTCAAAATTCAAACCAAGCTTGCATTACTGTCATTGTTGCTTATGCAGGAAAGGAAGAAGCCTTCAGTCCATTTTCTATTATGGCAAACAATAGCATTATTGACTTCTGGTAAGTTAATTTTTAACTGTTCACCATCTGAGTTGGGCCAAGTAGTCACTCATAAAGGTTGAACAAATGTTACTTTTTAAGATGAAAATTATTAGTATCATCCAATAATAGTGTTTTGGCAAGGCTTAACAGTTGCGACTTTGGAAGTAAGAGTCACAGGCACCCATTTCTAGTTTTAAGTTTTGAGAATTTGCAACACTTACAGTGACATTGCAAATAGAAAATTGTCATGGAATGCGAGAGCTAATGTCTTAAATTTTGAAAACTCTGAATAGGGTAATGTAATTTTCAACACAAAAAAACAGCTGATTTGGAAAGATAGTCTAAAAAACAACAAACACTGCAGGCCATGGCTATAAAAAGCGTTCTTTCCCCATTGTCCTTATAATATAGACCTTTGACATTAAAGTGAATTCAGTTTGTTTTAATTTCTGTTATGTTAAGTTTCTGTTTTTTTTTATTTTTTGAAAGTCGGACGTCATTGGCATCCATGGCTGGAATCTCTGCTGGAATTCTTGGACTCTCAGCTCTTAAAGGCTTCATCTTTTATTTTATCGCTTCCTTGTTTATGTCTGTAAGTGACTTGCTTACTCTGTATACTTGTCTACAAGTTTAGTTAACATTTATGGGGTACATGTAGGGCAGTACACGGCTCTTTGAAGGCCTCACAGGATTGCTGAGAAAACAATAAACAAACAACAGCAAACAACTCAAACTCCCTGCTAACTCAAACTAACGTAAGTCCAATTTCCCTTGGATTTCACCCCACTTTTCAGTCATTTTTACTCTGTTAACTCAAACTCGGATAACTCAAGACCACAACAAGGGAGCAGGAGCTTTTAGTTGTTCTTTCATTCCATCTGGAATTGTCATATTCTGAACAAAATGAGTATATTCTGATAGCTACATGTAACAATCTTGTACTTTCTTTTTCAGATCTTGATTTGCTTAAAAGCTGGTACACATTGGAGAAAATTTTTCATCTCTTGGTGGGATCTTAGTACTTCAGGAATCTTTGGTGGAATATTTGTATCCTTAGCTGTTTTTTTACAGTTAATCCTCATGAAACAAAAACTAAAAAATCCCAATAATTTTAGTAACAAAGGTATATTTGGGGGCACCTTAATTTTCCATTGCATGGAACACAGTTTGACATTGCTTTTGGAAACCATGGATTGCACATACAGCCTATGGGCTAGTAACCCTGCGCTGGATTAACAAGAGCAGTAATAACCCTAGTCGATTCCTGGGGGGAGGGGGTACTGCCCTTCATAGGTTATGTAGGTATGTGCTGCTGTATAGGGAAAGGGATTTCAAGCAGTTTAGTCTTGGAAAGGATAATATAGAAATCAGAGTGTTTGGGTCTTGAATAGGGTATCATTTTCCAGGAGTTGGTTGAAGACTTTAGTCTAGACTAGGAAAACTGGGGATTGACACTAAAAGAATTAAATTGGTAAATGTAAACTTACCCATAGCTCAATAAGTAGTTGGACATGGGGGTTTATGGTATTGCGGTATTGAGCTTTTTTCAAGCGGTATTTCGGTAATTTTGATTTTAATGTGTGGTGTTGTGATATCATCCAGCCTTGCGGTATGCAGTTTTCATCCTTCTGGCTTACTGTATTCAGTAAGAGAAGATCCTCCATGGTATTGCGGTACAGTTCATTTGACCTGTCCTGTCTAATTTACTGTATTTATTCGGCTATAAGCCAATCTTGGCTGTAAGGCGAGACCGTAAACTTTAAAGTCATAGAATCAGCATAACCAAGAATGAAAGATAAATCCAAAACACCCGGCTGTAAGTGAGACCCATTGGTTTCAAGACTCTTAGCTACTGTAAAACATCATGAACATTACTATATTATTTATTATTTTGCTGTTCTCCTTAACTGCTGATTTTCATTATTACATTCAAGACATACTTACTGTTTTGGACGTATCCTTTCTGAAATTTGAACAAGTACAGCTGTAGGAATTTCAGTGTTTTGTACTTACACCATTTTCTTTGTATTTTAATTTATTTTACTAACATTAACAGTTATATATTATTTTGATAGCCTTTCAGTAACACGGATCTGCACGACCGTTGTTTGATTTAGTAGAGATATCGGGTTGAGGGAATGTTGTTGGTTTGAGAAATACAGCCTGCGTAGCAAGCGTTTCCGTTTGGTTTCGGAGCAAAGAAATACAGAGGAAGGGGACTTTTGGTATTGACCGCGCGAGTGAGAAATACTGTCTATAAACTTTTATCTGTAATCATTTTAATTTCCATTGAGCAAAGCTAATAACCGCAGTGGGCGGCCATAACTGCATACACATTTTGAAAGCATGCAGTTAATATGAACCTCTCATTTGCCGAGTTCTCAGTCTTTTTCCATTAATATTTACAATACAGAGCGAGAAAATGGGGCTGATAAGTTGTTTATTATGCAGCTTCCTGTTTTGGGGAACTGGAAACAAGTGTAGGTTATGCGTTTTGACAGTCATTTGACAGGTGTCAAGAAAGAAATTTTTTATTAGCTCACGAAGGCAATAGCACTTTACAATGGCTTTCCATAAAAGTGTAAACATGCAAACTATGAGCACTGTAAGTTTTAGCTCACCGATGTGACACCCTTTTATTTTGAAAACTAGACTCTGTGTTTAGCTCAAAGTTGCCTCCATCTTTATTTCGTTCAGTCTTTGAAACACCAAAGTCAATGGCAAAAAAGCTTGTCAAGGTAAGCTTAAGTTTGTTATCATTGTTGAAGGACTGCTGGTCTTTCCTTGGCAAAATGTCTCGGATCGCTGCCAGTTCATTCTTATCTTCTTCGCTGTGATCTGTGATATAATTTTCAAACACTGACTAAAATCCTCTTCTTGGGTAAGATTACGATTCAGTTTCTTCCTCAGCTTCGTTCTAAAATAAACACAAGTTAAGATTTGGAAGAATTTGAAAGTCACATCCAAGTCCACAGGGTTTTCAGACATATGATAACGTTCCTTTAATCATTTCTTCGATATAGAAAGATTTAGAGCGGCAAATGAGTGTTTGCTCTTGAAATTTTTGTTCGTACGGTAAGTTATGGACTGCAAATTGACCAATCATAAGGCGAAAACAGACTTAGCCAAATAATCAAAAAAATGATAGTTACCATAGCACTTACGAATTACTAACTGCTGATTGGAGGTTGTAACCTCATTGGGTACGTATGTATTTAGTGATACTTGCCAAACCTCTCTTTTTGCCATCATCCTGGGTCCTTTCCATGTCCACTTTTTCAGTGATTTTTCCTCATGTTATTTCATTAACCTTATGATCAAGATTTTTATATGGAATGGTTCATGTCTACTGATTGAAGGACACCACAAACTACCAAACAGCACTTCTGTTGGAAAGGATGGTGAAGTACTTCCCTTTCAGTGGAAACATTTTCCACTTGGTTAAATCCTTGAACGAGTAGAAAACATTGAAAAACTGCAAGAACACATGTGTGCTTGCGAAAGATCCCACAAGTTGTAATGTGTGTTCGAGAATATATCCATGCCCACACTGTAGAAAGAATTTGCTCCATGCTTTCCACCCAGCCTCATTTTCCAAAATTTCCCCTATTGAAGTAAAGTCAAAACTCAGCTAATGTGTGGTCCACGATGCTAAAGTTTTGAGAATGTTGTTCTTATCCCATGGCTCAGGAAAAGAAATACGCTATCTGACACCTCTCTGGGATTACAATTTCAGTCCCTTCTGCAGGCTCGGTATGGATATTTCCCTGACACATATTTTCCGTACAGCATCTGAGTGTCCACTTCAGAGCCAGTGGGTTAAACCACATTTTAGTTGCATTCATAATTTATAAATATAAATCAAAAGAAATTAATGTTTAATGAGTGTCAAGTTATATCTGATAAAGACACGGCTAAACTTTCCGTCCAATTTTTTTAGACCAAAATAACTCCAAATCTAAATATTTGTGCGAGAATGAGTTGATCTATATCAAAGAATTTGCAGCCGTTCAAAAAACTCGCAGTCGCGTATTATCAGGTTTAAAAACTTTCGGCTTCGCCTCGAGTTTTATATCTGATAATACACTCCTGCTCGTTTTTTAAACAGTACATAACAACACATATCCAAGTATTTTGTACGATTCAGGGATTGTCCCCACCAACGTTGTTCTATCAGGGTGGCAAAGGGGTTTTCCGTGACGCGTGATGGGAGACCCAAATTATCAGCGTAATGCGTGATCGGGCCCAAATTAGCCGCGTGAGGCGTGAGTGATGCGTGATTTACTATTTTCACAACGCGTGACGCGTGATTTTCCTTTGAAATTTGCGTGATGATTAATATCATTCGAAACTAGTTTTGGTTATGACACCAACTTCTTGCCCTTTTATGTCGTTCCTCCACCTATGATTTCCTCAGATAGGATACTTGTTAATGTAGTTAGTATTTTATTTTATTTTTCCGTGAAGCGTGATGACTGAAAAAAATCGGCCTGATGCGTGTTGGGTACCCCCCTCCTTTTCCCCCTTGTTTTATGCGCTGTATTTTTTCCATCTGTTGGTTAACAGGTTGCAAAGACTTTATGGACTGCCTTTAGTAACAAGTGCATTCTACAGAAGTGTCCAATAACATTTGTTTATGGTACTAACAAGTTACTGTTAATAATACTGGAATTAGCGCCTGGGGCGCTTAAATCTAATTTGTTGATCCAAGGGTGGGGGAGGGGATGCTAATTTGATGGGGGCACTTATTTCGTTCTTCAATATTTCGGCCTCAATAAGATGACATTGTTCTTGTTTCAAACGAACTAATACTGTGACAGTTAATTGGAATTTAACAACGTATCTTTTAACTAAAACCGGCTTTCAACATCCTTTTTAAGCAAGTTTTGTCGCTTTTCTTACGCACTTTTCTAGTGATTTTACATGTTATGTTATTCACTTGGGGGCGGCAGTTCTAGTTTTTCGGTTTTTATAATGGGACGTTGTGCGTCCTGAGTACTTCGAAAACTTCATGGAAATAACTTTATTGTCAAGTGCTCTATTAATGCTGGCGTCCCCCACCCCCGTCAAAGTGACGTCCTCGCGAAAGGCTGATAATTTCGAAAGTACAGGAGGGTCGTTATTTTCGGATCTTTACGGTCGCTCTTATTACAGTCGTTACTTCGAGAACTAGATGCGTTACATACCGCGGGGTCCCTACTTCCTGAAGTCCTTGAAAAGCTCTAGAATTTAATTTTAGAATTAAAGGGTGCCTGAAAAAGCCTTGGATGGGAAATAATAATTAACATATAAAGGGCAGATTTTGGAATAAAATCCATCTTGGCTTGCGTTAAACACTCGTTGAAAACTACGATTTTGGTGTTTAACTACTCCTTGAATACTATAAGCAAAAACAAGTGCAAACCTTGTACCCTAAATCGCTCTGAACATGCACCTTATCTTGGTTATATTAAAACGTCCCTACGGTAACCCCTTATGACTAAAAAACTGACTTTATAAGGGAACTCAGAGAGAATGAGCTTATTCTCTCTTTGGGTGACACAATTACTGGTAAACCATTAGTTTTCATTGTTTCCCACAAGGTTATGAATCCTAACTGGCCGGAGGAAACCCTGTTGTCTATTTTACAAGGGTGACGGAGAACAAATCTAAGTAGCGGTAAGGGCGCGGACTGAATTAGTCAGGGCCTCTGAATTACTATTCCAGCGCTCTAACCGCCCGTACTTAGTCGACTTCCCTTGCCTTTGTTTCTTCTTGTTTTATCCAGAGACACATTTTCACATGTGAAAGTAGGAGACGTCTCAGTTGACAGGTACTTTTTTATGGCACCGAGGTAGCGTAAAATGAAATAATTATGCGCGCATTCAGGTTCCATTCTCTTTTTCACAAGCAAATGATTTTCATATACACCCACTCTAAACCGCCCCCTTCCACAATATGTAATCATTAATTTACGTATTTAAAAAAGGTCCCGCTAGGAAAAGACTGGTTGTATATTTACGTGTAACGAGAAAGGGTTAGGTATTCAAGTTGCTCCAGTCCTTGACTAAAACGTAAAATAGTTGGTCCAAGGGACGTAATTTGTCACCTGTGTTGTGTTGTATTGTGTTGCATGGGTAAATATTTCTAAATCGGAAGACCGGTGACCTGGTCGCTTCGTACTATTTTCTCTCAGTACTCATGTACATAGTGTCAATGACTGTACGTGATGCTTTTCCACCTTTTTTCTCTTTTTTCTTGGCTTTTTTTCCTTTTCTTCCTACAGTTCCTTTACTGTTTCCTTTACTTCCTAGGAGTTTCACTCGAGCTTCGTGAAGGTCCTGAAAGACACGTATTTCGTAGCCTGCGTGGCAGGCATTCGAAAGGGAAGGGTAAGGGAATTGAGGGCGCGAGACCGCGCGCGAGAGAGGAGGGGAACCTTTCCTTTCTCCCTTGCGCGCTCTCGCGCGCCCAAATTTCCCCTTCTCCTTCCCCTTTTAACGCCTGCCACGCAAGCTATGTATTTCGAGTATAGGTGGCCTCATGTAAGGAACTCGGGATTCCGGAATCTGGAAACCTTTACTGGTGGAATCCGAAATCCCAAGAATTTTTGCTGTGGAACCCGGACTCCGCAGTCTCGGGGGTTGGAATCCGTAATCCAGCGCAAGGAATCCGGAATCCAAGTTCCACTGACAAGGAATCCTGTAGTTACGCTGTGGTCTGGGATTACCCTACTGATATATAGATTTAGCAAGGGCTAAAAGCGAACCTCTCCTTACTATTAATAGTTTACTCAAACAAAACATAAAATCGTGTAATGATAAAGAAACGTTGAAGACAACGAGAACGGTAAAAAACAACAACAACAATTAAAAGTAGGTCTAGGGTGCTTTTTTGGGGAGAATCAAAAAACGGATTTGTGATCTCAGATCATATGAATTCTTCACTGCCAAAAAGATCTGAAAAAGACTCATTTACCACGACAACGGCATGGCCTCGTGCTCCTAGTGATGAGGAAAATAGAGGGGAAACAAAAAAACAAACTGATCCTTGCGGTGAAGACAAGAAGGAAAAGCAACATTAGCTACGTATGAATATACGAAATGTATAAATTTTCGTTTAAAACACAAACGTTTCTCGAATAGAATATGATAGTAAAATTATAAGAATTAGAGCGCTTTTCGATTGAGTGTCGTAAAACCAAAACCAAAGTAATCAAACGTTTCAGAGGGAGCCAATCGAATAACCGGCCTTAATAACCAAGTCGATTGGTTTTAAATCTGATTGGCTTAAAGGTGGCGCGAGTTTTCTAAAAGCAGAGTAAAGCAAAACCAATGCAATCCCGGATTACTTTCGACACTCAATTGAAAATTACTCTAAAACTGAAGCCGATGAATTGTTTTATTTAATTACTTGGAAAATAAATCAGCATAAGCAGACACTACATACGTACAAAAAACATGACAAGGGTTTAAAAACAGTCTACGAATGTAAATAGATGACAAACATGGAATGGTATGTGACTAATGGCTCAAAGTTACGGCGCCATCAACATAGGTTCAGTTAGAATGTCATACAATAACAATGTTCGGCATCTGTTGTGTACCATTTTTATTCGGAAACCCGCTTCTCAAAAATACTTTTTTCGGATCCTTTCCCAATAAAACAACGTGAAACTTTCAGAAACTTCCTTTAGTTACACGTTTTTTGGAGGAAAGATTGTATGTGCCCCTATTCACTTTTTTCACCGCCGCTCATTTTCACCTTGGTGGCCGCTAGCACTTCTCATTTTATCACCGCCGCTATAAAATTTTCATGTTTTTCTTCCTGCGAAGAACTATGTCCTGCTCTAGCTCTTTGTCTCTTTTTCACCGTATCCACCTCCCATTCGGGCTGTTTTCCAACTTCTTTCCCCCTCCCCCAGAGTCTGTACGTACGGGTGGGCGTACGCTGACGTCACAACCAAAATTTATCTGATCGGATAGATAACTAAATTTTCTTAACAATGGGGCTCCGCTCCCGCGCGCTTCGCTTCGCTAAGCAGCATGGCAAAGTCGCATTCACAGCCGGTCGATTTGCCACTGGCCCAGCCCCTAATGAAACTCCTGCACCATCATCACTATCATCATCGTCATCACCATCACCATGGGCTTTCGGCGTGAAAGATGATGCTTTGAACCACTGTGGCTTTTCCACAGTCTCCCACACTGTAAGATCCCGCATGGCAGATTCTATTTCTTTCCCCCCAATTCCAGTATCATGAGCGAACAGCTGCGGATAGGTTTGTTCCGTGGGGGTACTGAGAAGTTAGGGCTCCATAGAAGAATTGATGATATCACCGTCTCCCAGCAAACTTGAGCCGTACGCTTTTTCCTGCTGCATGCGTGCTCAGCCAGATATTTTGTGCTGTGCGTGAGAGGTTTGTGTATGTTCCAACCAATCTTTTGTTGTATTTTGCAGTATGTGTCCAGTTTTTGAGCCAACGAGTAGTGTAGACTCTACTAGTTCCGGGATCAAGTACATTTTGAAACTGTTTTGGAGCTCCGAGTGCCATAGTTTTTCAACCTTGTTTCATGCTACTCACCCTATTACTTACAGTGTTTCGTGTTAAAGAACTTACCCTTGTATTTGCCCCCCTTCCCCTTCCCCGCCCCCCCGCCCCCTTTTCCATGGCAGTTACAAATGTAACTACTGTTCACTTGCCTGTAAGCACCTTAGTTCCGGGTGTGGGAGGACTGGGGGATTGGGAGTGTTTGCTTGTAGATTTCTTCCTCCTACGAACACAGACCTTCGTGTGACGCTTCTTCGATTGCACCCTTAATTTTGTACGCCACGAACACTCTTTAAATGTTCCATATGTCCCCATGTTCCATATGTACAATCCAAATTATCATTTCTAATTATAATAAAGAGGACAAATCAGCCCCCTGCCTTCCACCTTCCAGATCCTTGGGTGTGCCGGGGGTTTCTCAAGGTTCAATCACCATAAGTGCCAGGAGCCCATAGGCTGATATAAGTGCATGATACGAGAATTTTAATTACTAGTGTGGGTGATTGTACGGAACAAATAGAAGTGCAACGAAGGATCCGGGAAAATACAATCCGCCAAATATCTGACGAACATCTCCAAGGCAAAAGAAGAACCGGGAAGAAGAAAGAAAAGAAAACATCTCTCGGGAGCTCGGGTTAGTAGCGGGCGATTTCTAAATGGCCAATAACATTACCCTTTTTTCGTTTCAATAATTATTTACACGAGGCATGGTTTTAACGTTTTTATAACGTAACAAAACAATTCGTTTTCGCTGCATTTTGATTTTTTTGCTTTTCGTGATATTGTTACAATGGCCTCTCGCCCCAGACCTCTGTGGGCGTGGTTCTACAGGAAAAGCCCGGATGTTGCCGGCTTCATCTTGTGTCGTCATTGTACTAAGTCGGCCATCTGTTTTGGGTGACATGGAAGGTACTGTCGATCGGCCTCGTAAATAGATTTTCTCTGCTGCTTTAACAACTGTTCGAGGTGGCTTTGGAAAGTTGAAATATTGTTCTTATGATTTTTTTCCGGCTTGCAGAGATCCGAAATTGGTGGGAGGTACCATCGATAGCACATTTCTGTTCGTTGTTCCGTGCTGCCTTCGGACTGACTGACTTCGAAATTGAGGTAACAAAATCTCTCTATTACCAGTTGAACAAGTCGAGAATTTCTTTTCTTATCACTTCCTGAGAATTTAATTCTAAAGACTCAGTTATTACGTCCTTTTTATTTCCTAAGCCTTTGACCTTTCTTCGCCCAAGTTATTCTCTGTATTGTTTATTTAAAATTTGAATTTATGGAGCCAGAAAACTGGTAGCGTAAATTTAAAGTTTTAGACGGGCATATATCGCTTTTACTCTGGTCTTATTTAAGCTTATAATACATTGTTTCACTTCCTTAAGGATTTAGAAGATGCACTTGTCATTGATGGTTCTAATGAAGAGGGAAACAACCGATTTTTGGCCGATCTACACGCGAGATTATTGAGGGGATTGTATGGCATAAAAGAAATAACGTAAGACAGTTTTACTGTAGTATTGTTTTATTTTTATTTTGTTTCATACAGCGGTTTATTCTTTTTAAATTTCTTTTAAAATGTCTTAACTATTCATTGATTGGTTTTGTTTGTGTGATCATAATGTGTATGCCATGTAACAAGATTTGAGTTTATTTCGTGTGCAAACGTGAATGTTTCAAATTCGTCTCACCAGTCCGCCTCATGGTAATTCGCCTCATTGTCTAATAATGTAAGCCGTTTGCCCTAAAATAAAATTATAGCGAACACGGAGTTGTGCAAATATTGCTCCCATGTTGTTTTCGCTAGTTTTCAAATTAAGTCTCAGGTCAAAAACCTTGCTAAGCACAATTCTAGGTTGTCCATGTTGACATTCAGACAAGTTCGATTAATTCTCTTTTCATTGTTGTACACTTTTATTACGACGATAAAAACCGTGGCTTACATTATTTGTCGTGGAATCTTGGAAAATGTGTTTGTGTTGTTAAGTCTTAATAACGTGTTTCAAAAAATATTTTGCTCCTGTTCGATTCACGCCGAGAATCGATTTGCAACGTTGAGGTTCGAATCGCGTCTTGATCGATCGTAGAATACTTATCGATGTTGGACGCTTCCTCCATTATTTCCTTTCGAAAGGAAACGTGGCGCTGAAATAAATTTTGCAATCGAAGATCTACAAAAAAAAAAAGGCCCTTCGGGTTGTAACAATTTCACGTTTTCGACCTTTTAGTCGGCTACTAGAAAATTACCGAAACTTGTGACTTGGTATTTTGACACGTGAAATTGCTATATCCTGTCGTAAATTTATGCCAACTAAACGTTCATCGGTGTGTAGTGGATTCTGTCATATTTAGAGACTGATGGAAGGGGGGAAATAATGGTTTGGCTAGCACTGCTAAGTGAAAATCCTGTCTAGTTTTGTTGTTATAGTTATTCTTGTTTCCTTGTATATTTCATTGGCTCGTGACAATTTCCATGTTTATTTCAGGGCTGAGAATTTTGAGCCGTATCTCTCACAAGTGTTGAAAATACGCTGGGAAGATGAGTTAGGGAGGAAAAATCCGCTTGCTGATCAGGAATACAGGTACAGTGCGGTGCTGTTAAAGTAGCAGTGCTTTTTGTCAGCTTGGTTTCGATATCCTTTCATTGTTGATCTGCATTGGCGCATGTGGCCGGACAACGAAGTATTGTTTTTTGGCAGTGAAATGTGACTAGACAGGTAGAATTTCATTTCCAAGCACGATTTACGTTTGTCGTGGTGGAATCTACCCAGAAATTCATATTTCACAGTTTGGGTTTGTGAACACTTTCTTTTTTTTGGAAGGTATGGATAGCAATTATTTCATTCACTTACCCTGACATTTTTAATTATGTAACTTGCTTGTAACAAGTTGTATTTTTCAATTTTTTTTTCCTTTGGTCAGTAGTTTCCTATGCGGTAGACGTTATAAAAACAAAAAAAGTGAAAGATTTTAGCTTGCAAAGAGCAAACCTGGTGTGTTTTCAGATATAATTAATTTTGTTTTCAAAGATGACACAAAGGGCTTTCAAACATGTTTTTGCATATAAGTTGTAAAAATATTAGTCCAAGGGGAAGGGTTTTTCATTTAAATCCCTAGCTGGTGTTTGTGATTTGACATTATTGTTCCCAGCAAATTTCAATATCAAATCTGATCTGGGAATTCTGTCACTTGTACAAAGATTTCTGACTTGTTCAAACACTCTGATGTCAAGATATTTAACCTCATTGACAGGGACTTAATAAATCTGACAAGCTTACCCTCACCTCAGAGTGGTCCAAAACCGCAAATTGTTTCAGAAAAATCCAAATTTGATTTCTGCAAAATACTAGAAACCGATCATACCTTGTAGAAGTACTGTTGAGGTTTTAATTGAATGGTCAATACATAAGATTTTGACTCCAAACTTAAAAATAGAGTGAAATTAGATTCCTTAATAATTATCTCTGCAATAAGTGAAAGGAATATGACTAAAACAGTAACCATTGTTTTGTGATAAAAACTCCTTTGCACAGCCATTCCCAATTTTGACATAAATTTTCTTCAACCATCTCTAATCTTATAAAAGTTCAATGTTAACAGTTTCATGCAAAGATGTCAACTGTATTTGCTTAACTATCATATATGGTCCTTGAAAACACTTAAATCGGCCCTCCTGAGATTTCAGGATTAAACTTGAAATTATTGGCATAAAGTTTGGTTAACTATAATGTTATCAGGATACAACACTGTCATAATTTAATTACTGAGGAAAAATTTGCAAGATTATCTTTTCTGTTTTAAGCTTTGATGATTATTTACACTGTATCAGAGTCATTAAAATGCTTCGGTTATTAATTCTTTCTCGTTTATATTGAATTTCGGCAAATTTCAAATATAGTATTGTTTGATTTTTCCCACTTAGCAAACTCTCCACCAGAGAAAAAGTTGAGATCCTACATAATCTCTGTGACTTTCGACTTGATGTTGAAGATGTTCCTGAGCTACTCAAGGTATTGTAGTATTAAAGAAAATTGCATACTTGTATGGCTGTTCAACTCTGACCTTGCACCAAAACAGTGGATATTATATAACTTTTCGTTGCATGATGATATCCAGCAATTAATACAATAATTTTTTACATTCCAAGCATAACATGATAGATTAGCAGTTAATTTAAACCTGTATCATCATGACCCTTTAACTCCTTAAGATCTGATTAGTAATTCTCTTTTCTTGCTGCTATACATTTTATTGAATGTTAAATTGAAGGTTATGTCAATATAACATCTTCTGACTGATAATTTGCCTATTCTCACCACCTATGCTATCTGTTGGATAATGTATTGGATATTCAAAGGAAAAGTTACTTGGCATACAGATTTGTTTTAATTTAGATATAACTGACTGAAGGTTGGTAGTCTTTTTTCTCATGACAAGAAAGTTGGTAAAATTTTACTGATAACAACCCAAAGGAACAAACAAAAAATATAGAAGGCTTTTCCTTAGGTGTCTTTACTTGGGTGCTCATGCCTTCAATCTAAACAGCATGCCTGAGTCCTGTTACAACAAGAATTGCTTTGCCTTTGACCTGTCATTTAAGCTCATCTTTTGGGATCAGTCAGTGTGTTCTTGTAGGAATAATTTCAGATTCTAGCAGTTACATACATATAAGTTACAGCATATCAACGTAAAACTTGTGGTGTTGTTTGATGTCCAATAGGGTCTGGATGCGGACAGCTTACGTGTAGAACCTCTGGGATTCGACTCCGAAGGAAGAACCTTCTGGTATTTCTACGGTACACGATTATATCGAGAAGAAAAACCACCACAGTCAGAAAACAAGTCCAACAAGAAGTCCAAAAAGAAGAAAAAGGTGGAGGGTAAAACTAAGAAAAAGAAAGCTAAACTCAAAAAGAAGAAGAAAGCAAAGGGATCTTCATCTGACTCTGAGGAAGAATCTGAATCAAGGTTAGCAGTTGAACTGTACTTGCTAAGAAATGTTTTGAGTGAATTTGAGGTCAAAGTTATACAGTACAGCCTCAAATTTTTATGTATTTTTCCTTTACACAGTCATGGTGACCTTTCCCCAGGCCCAAATTTTAATTTTTTAATTTGTTTCATGGTTTGTTAAGAGGTATCATATCATTGCAGTAAGTTAACATGGCCCGTAACAGTTAGCCTGCGCCACTGACAAAACTAAACCTCCAGCTAAGTCCGTCTGCAAAATAGTGCTGAGATCCTTGATCTGGACACCTACCTGTGTATAAGGATTTGACTACACATCATGATTGGCCTATTAAAAAAGCCATTGTTGATTTGCCAATCAGGTTGAAGGGAAATTGGAAACCCACTTCCAGTAATTCCTTGCGTTTGTTGGGGGCCCAGAACAAGGATCTCAGCACTGCTTCACAGATGTTACTAACCATGGTTAGATTATGGCTTAGCCTGAAAAAACAGCCGACATTTGATGACGCTACCACTGGTTTCCCCACCAAACAACATCTGAGAAACGAGCGCAGCAATTCCATACTGATAACTGGTCACTACCCAGATCTGGTTAGTGCATCTTATCGGTCGTGCCGCACGGGAAATTCGATTCAACCAATCAAAAGCACTACCCAGATCAGGGTAGCGACGCGCCATCAGTATGGAAATTCTGCACTCGTTTCTCAGACGTCATTTGGCGGGGAAACCAGTGGTAGCTTCACCAAATTTTGGCTGTTTTCTCAGGCTAATTACGGCTGAGTCACAGTCTAGTTACTGTCTTTGTTTATTTCTGAGAGGTAGAAAACCCCTTAAGGTTATAAATTCCTCTTGTGGTGGATTCTTCTTCTTGTCACCATCTCCTTTTCTTCATTTACTTTCAGAGTAACCTTTATTAAACTACCCAAACCATTGCCATGAATTTTGTCCATGACATTACTTACTACTACTATATGAGAGATTTTTGCAGTTGATTGGCTTAGAGCAGTGGTATTTCAGCTTAATTTGAAATACTTACATGTGAAAATTACAAAACTTTTGAGGGTAGTAGTTAAACAAATAATAGCATGATTTGTGTGTGATATTTGGCGTAAATGCCACTTTTGATATTTCAAAATTGTCTCAAATTTCACTCGCCTAATGGCTCGTTCAATTACATATAACAATTTGAAATATCACTCGTGGTATTTATGCCAAATATCACTACAAATCATGCTATTACTTATACTAATTCAGTTGGCCATTCCCTATGAGTGACCTCTTACACTGACTGTGTTAATGTATTTATCAAAATCAAAATAAAGGAAATTTGAAACTACATGGCGAGTAAGCTCTCTATTTAAGGTGGTAAGCAGTTCAAGTCATTAAAGAATGTGCAAGTGAGGGTCAAAGTGCAAGGGGCTCTCGCATCCCCAAATATGCGTGCCACTTGCTTGCCACTTGGCTTTTCACAATATCCACCAAATGGGGAGCTTATTTGCATGTTAGAAACTACAGTACTCTGAGAACATTTGACTTGAGCTTGATTTAAAACAACTGGTTAACGTAATGACTGGCATGCTTAGTCCAAGCAGTGAGCATCCCAGCAGTGATTATGCTGATGATGAAGATGAAAATGATGAGGATCAAGAGGTAGCTTCTGAGGGAAAAGAAGAACAGCAAAAACAGGACTGCCCACTCTGGACTGTTGTGTGTTCCACTGAGGAAGAGTGGCAGCAGCTCGCTGAGTCGTTCAAGAAGAGTAAACACAAAGATGAGAAGATGCTTTATGAGACACTCAGTGTTGATTTTGTTCCAGAGATTGGCAAAATGATTGAGGCAAAGGTACAGTTGCTTGCATTATGTTGCTTCTTGGTAAGGAAAGATTGATTACATGTAGCAATGACGTCTTATCTTCTCATCAAAGGTACAGACTTGTACCTCCATTGCAGATTATGATGATTCATCAGCTTGGAGAGATAAATAATGAATATCTGCCTCAAAAGCTCTTCAATGGTGTGTTCACTTTAAATCAGTGAAATTTACTTTAGGATTGGTGTTTTTTTTTAACTTATACGCATATATAAGGAAGTGAAGTAGAGGAATTATTTTTTTGAAAGAAATAGCCAACTTTCAATATATTAAAATTCTAACATGACGTTGAGGCTTTAGGGTCAAAATTAAAAATTTTTCACCCTGGCAATTCCAAGAAGAGACTTGAGCACAAAGAAAACCAAACTAAGTATAGAAAAATTACCAGGAAGCCATGGAGTCATGTTAGAGTTTTAATATATCGAAAGTGGGCTATTGGTGACATCCTTTTACCATTGCTCTGTAATAAAGGATAAAGCCATGAGGAAAAAGCTTCTAATGGAGATGGCACCAAGAAGAGCGTCTGATAGAATAGCATCAAAAGTGCAGGTAAGGGAGGAAGAAGAGCAACAAGAGGAGAATGAGAGACAACGAGAAAGAGAGCGACTGGCAGAGGAGAGGAAGAGAGAAGAGGAAGAGAAACAACGAGAAAAACAACAGCAGCAAGAGAGAAGGCAACAAGGTTAGATAATGATGTTGATAATGATTTTAAGTTAATGATAAAATTAGATTATTATTTTGTAATGAATGATATTCAATTAACTGGGAGAGTGGGACGAGTCTCAATCATTCCATTTTGAGTATGTGCAAAGCTTATTACTTTTTTGTTCCTTGTGATTGCTTTTCTTGACTTTGCCTTTGGCAGTTCATTCTTGGGATTTGGGACCATACACTGTAGGTCTCTTTAGGTTAAGTCATGGCTTTCCTCCTTAATACCCATGGTGTGACAGGTGTTGTGTGACAACAGTAACATTAGCGGTGCTGTAGGGCTGCAGTGATGCTCAGATGTATTGGTGAACTGCAATATTTCTTCTCACGATATGAATATTTATATTTCATCAAGATAGTATCACGATATTATAATATGCTAAACTGTGCAACATCTTAATAGTAACAGTATGTGAAATCACTGTATTTATATTCCATTCTGAAGCTCCGCATTTCAGCCCTTTGAAAGCATCTTATGATGGAAACACATTAAAAAGGAAACCATTCCTACTTTGTGTGTCTTATCTTATTCAAGAATGATTAGGGATAAGAAGGCAAAGAAACATGGGCACTTATTTGTCACTTGTCAGCGTGCAAAGAAAGTAGTGTCCGATAGCCCGGGGCTAGAGGATTTTGCTATCAGGCTAGTGAATTCTGTTTTTAACTTGCCGGACGGGCAAGTGATGTTTTATGAGGAATTTGAAGAGCAGAAGAACAAAACGTTTTTGGGGCTAGTTGAAATGACGTCCGGGCTAGTAAATGCTACCTTCAGCTTGCCCGAATGGCAAGCTATAAAAATGATTTTCTTTGCACCCTGCTTGTGTGCTTCATGGTGTTTTGTGCCCACAGTGTATTGTGCACTTTTCAGAGCCCCCAAAATAAAAATTTTCCCAGGGGTAGGGTGCAAACCCCAGCCATACCTAACACCACATGCAGCCACATGTACACCCTGTAAGCCACGTGAAAAGTTGTCTCCTCCTTCTGATCTAATATTGCTGCCTTCTTTAATAAATCTCTTCTCCAGCCTGAACAAATAATTTGAAGAAAAGGATTGACAGTACTTCTGTAATTTCAATTCCCCAAAAAACTTCACTTGCCCATTGGGCAAGTTACATAAGAACAGAATTCACTCGCTCAATAACAAAATCTACTAGCCCAGGGCTATCAGACACGACTTTCTTTGCACATTGAATTCTGATGCCCTGCACACAGTAGATACATGTATATAAAGACAGGCATTCATTTCCAAAGATTAACTTTGTTTGCAGAGAGAGCCAAACGAGCACGTATGCGGGAAGAAAGGCAGTGGCTCATGGCTAGTGGTGAATTTCATCCTGAGGAACTGAAAAATAGTTTCGGTCAAGAAGAAGAAAGCAAGGAAAGTGAAGTGGAAAGGAGACCCAGCTCACGAAATAGAGAAGTCACAGAAGACATTGAGCTTGAGGATAGAGATGAAGACCTTTACACTGGGATGTATAAAGGTATCAGATCTGTTAAAAGAAGCTTACATGCTGACATAAATGACCTAATGCAAATGCCCTAGGCAGCAATGCTCCGCCCCTCTCTCTCCACAGGTCTGGTAGTGGACATTCCAAAGTGGTAATGGGGGTTTTCACTCTCAACATTTTTCAGGGAAGCAAAAATAGAAGGATTAAAGAATCACTTACACGTGTATGATTGTGAGGTGACGAAGAAAAACCTTGGTAAAAATTGTAAAATTGTACCCACGAAGAAGTTGGGAGTTCTTATGAACTCATTTAAATGTGTCCTTGCATTCCAGATCAAATTAGAATTTGGAAGTGTTAGTTTTTGAGGAGAGGGGAAAACAGGAGTACCCGGAGAAAAACCTCTTGCAACAAGAGAGAGAACCAACATTTAACTTAACTCAGGCTTCAATGCTAGGACTTGAACCCAGGCCACATTGGTACAATGTTGGAAGATGAGTGGCATCACCACTGTGCCACCCTTGCTCTCCTTAGGTCTAGGGGTAAAGGACTATCTAGAATACAGTTAGAAGTATTGTTGTCATTAGGTAGATAGGGCCACACCCTGCCAGCAGAACCTCCCTTTAAAACAATTACTTGATTTTGGTGTACTAGAGAAAGACTTTGCATGAATCAAGTAATGTCTTTGTTGAGCATGCGTATCCTAGTGTGTTGCTAGGATACAGATTCAAACACAGGCCTTATATCTGTGCACTTGGTACGGTGGGCTCTGTTATGATTATCGGTTTATCAATAAACTGATGCTTGTACAAAAAACCCAGAAAATGAGAGGAGACAGGACAAACTAGCTGTAGCTACTTCAAAGGATTGATACAATGCATACAGAGCCTCTTTTTGTCCTCTTTGATCAAGAAGAAGACAGAAGGAGAATAATAGGGCTTCAACCTGATTTTTAGGGTACAGTAGTAAGAGCTGTGTGATCTAAAATACCGAGATAGACGTAAACATAATCATCTTTCTTGACTTCCTAGTGTTGGATGCCTTGAAGAAGCATAACAATGCTTGGCCTTTCCTGGAGCCTGTTGAAGAATCTTATGCACCCCAGTATTATGAAATTATTGAGGTACATTGTTTAAGCTTTAAATATCTACCGTGGATACTGTTTCAGGCATTTTTCAGTATTGCCGGTACAGCTGTACCTGAAAATTTGATGTTCCATCGAAATACCCTTGCACTGAGGAATATTTTTTTTGTCACCTATGTGTTATTACAGCCAACTCTCTCTTAACAGACACCTCTATAAGACAGACACCTCAGTAAAATGGACATCTAGAGTTGGTCCTTGCCTTTCTTTACTCCCTTTATTTGACTCTCTGTGAGACAGACACCTCGGTAAAACAGTTACCTAGAGTTGGTCCCTGCCCTTCTTTACTCCCTTTATTTGACTGTCTATAACATGGACACCTTGGTAAAACAGACACCTAGAGTTGGTCCATGCCTTTCTTTACTCCCTTTATTTGACTGTCTATAACATGGACACCTTGGTAAAACAGACACCTAGAGTTGGTCCATGCCTTTCTTTACTCCCTTTATTTGACTGTCTATAACATGGACACCTTGGTAAAACAGACACCTAGAGTTGGTCCCTGCCCCTCTTTACTCCCTTTATTTGACTGTCTATAACATGGACACCTTGGTAAAACAGACACCTAGAGCTGGTCCATGCCTTTCTTTACTCCCTTTATTTGACTGTCTATAACATGGACACCGTGGTAAAACAGACACGTAGAGTTGGTCCATGCCTTTCTTTACTCCCTTTATTTGACTCTCTTTAAGACGGACACCTAGAGTTAATCCCTGCCTTTCTTTACTCCCTTTATTTGACTCTCTATAAGACAGACACCTTGGTAAAACAGACACCTAGAGTTAGTCCCTGCCTTTCGTTACTCCCTTTATTTGACTCTCTATAAGATGGACATTACACTTAGATGGACATTTAGTGTACGTCCGAAAGGTGTCCATCTTCGTGAGAGTCAGCTGTATTCACTTTAAATTTGTTTTGCCAGGAACCAATGGATTTGTCTACCATTGAGCAGAAACTTGATGACAGTAAATACAAAAGCATAAACGATGTGAGTAGTGCTAATTATCTTTTATTTATCGTGTGAATTGTGCATTCTGTATACCACACAGGCTTATTTTAGTGCTAACCTAATTTTGCATTGTACCTTGACATTTCTAAGGGCTTAGTTATTTACTCATGGGAAGAGTCTCTGTGCATTTTAACCAACCTTAAGTTTCTGAATTCTGCCCAATGCACAAAGCTGAATTATTGAATAGGATATTGTATTGAAAGACGCTGTGCTTTAGGCTTTGATAGTTCAGCTGCCAGTGCCACACAAGGATGTGGTCAACCTTTCATACGTTGGGTGGGTAATTAAAGAGTTCTCGGCAGTAGGGATTCGTCCAGTTTTATTAGCTTTTTTGATTCGCAAAAGAATTTCTTTAGCTAATATTTTCAATTGTGTTAATCACTGGTGAGTTCTGTTTCATTACAGTTTACTGCAGATATGAAGTTAATGTTTGAAAACTGTCTGGAGTACAATGGTTCTGATAGCAGTAAGTGGATTTTCATGTCCTCATCATCTATAATTTTTTATGCAAGTGCAATTTTGGCAATGTAAATTCAGAATTTCAAACTTGTTTAAAATTAATTTGTGAACAGAAATATGATGAAAATTACTACTGCAAAGGAGGTTTGGATATCGTATCCTTGAGACCACAGAATGTTTCACATTGACATGTTGGCTTTGGGTTTCTTCCAGAATATTATTATTTCAAATGAAGAATGATCCTCGCAGTTGTGAACTCGATTTATGCAATTGCATAAGAAGCCTGAAAAAAAAATTTAGGACTTTAATGGAATTTGAATTCGTGACCTCATGATACCGGTGCAACGCTCTAACCAACTAAGGGCCTGTTTACGTGGAGTGGGGGACCCCGGTCTAGTGGGGTTGGTTTCTTTTGTTTCCACGCTCTTGGGGACACAAAACAAAAGAAACCTACCCCACTAGACCGGGGTCCCCCAGTCCATGTAAACAGGGTCTAAGTAAGCTATGAAGCTATGGATGTTGGGAGCTGGGCAATATTATGTGTTTGTATGTTCCCGTGAAAGAGATGAATGTGACAAATGTATGTCGAACCAAATGTCATTTTCACACACATTTGTCACAATATTATTATTTGCCATCTGACATTGGATGAAGATTTTAATCTGATATCAGGATACCTTGAAGTGGATTATTTTTAAAAAACTAAGCTGTGTCTTTGTTTTACGGGTTAATTTAGAAAAGAAAGTCAGAACTTTCTTTCCCCAGGGACAAAGTAAACTGTCCATAATAATGAGGTGTCCGTAGTAGGCGGGGTTTGACTGTACTTTATGTCATCATTAATTGGGAACTAAGGCCCGGTTCAGACGCCGTACTTTTCATGAGCCGAACCTAATACATTGAATTAAGTACATGAAAAGTTCGGCGTCTGAATCAATTAGGAACGCCTGTTTCAATTTGGAACGGCTCACCCGTTCTTTTCGCCTAGCCCGGCCGGGAATTTCGCCTTTGGATCGACTTTGGAACGCCTTTGATTCAGACGCCGAACTTTTCATGTACCGAACCTAATGCATAAATTCTTATAACGTATTTTGTAAGCAGTTTGACCAAAATGCGCATTTTTCGCCTTCTGAATTTAGTTCGGCTGGAATTAAGATCGGCGTCTGAATCAATTTAGCCGGTCTAAATAATTTGGGTCGGCCTTAATTCGAATTAGGTTCGGCTCATGAAAAGTTCGACGTCTGAACCGGGCCTAACTATCTACCCCATTTTTATTTAGTGTACACAAAAATGGCCAACAGTCTGGAAGCTGCTTTCAACCGACAACTAAAGAAACACTTTCCTGAAGATGATGACAACAGTGATGAGGATTTCGAAGAAGAACTTGCAAGGAAGAGCAGAAAAGAGAAGAGAAGGCGTGGTGAGGCAGGTTCTGGGCCAGAGATGTTCCGTAATGCACCACAAACCAATGAAAGCCCCTTTACAAAGCAGATGGGGCCACCTGGCATGCAGCCAATGTTTCAAAATCGCATGTTACCTAGCAACATGGCTAATGGGGGTATGATGCCTTCCCATCATCCTTCAAGAATGCCGTTTCCAGGGCCCCCACACTTTGCCCCAGATGGAAGGCCCCTATATCCTCCACAGTTTTATCAGAACGCATTCAACCCAGCTGCATTTGGGAGATACGGTATGTCACAACCAGGACCCCAGTTTAATAGGTTTAGATACCCTCAAGGGAATCCCGTGAGCCAGATGGGTCAGCCACCACAGGCGTCTCCTTATCCACCACAACACATGGCTGGAAGGATGCCATTTCCTTACAGAATGCCGGGTGCAGGTGGAAATATGGAGCTTGCACGCAGAGAGAATGACATGAATAGCCCTAATCAGACGGAACAAGCAAGGCAAGCATCCCCACAGCAGGCTGTCCCAGCGGTGTCTACATCAGGTATGTCTGTTGTAGTTATTTTTTGATCTTAGGTAATTTATATTTTTCCTTTGTTTCAACCTCATTAGCATGCATTACCAAACCCAGAAACAAAAGAAAAACAAATAGTATGTATGTACTGTACAATGACTATCGTATGAAATAAAAAGTGTGTATATATTGGCTGACATTCCCTTTTCTCTCTAGAGAAAAGCGCTAGGAATTTATCGACCGTTAGCGCAAAGGGGTGCAGGTAGGTAAATGAAAAGAAAAAGGTCTATGGACACCCTCAAGTGCCATGATGAATCATATCATATGGGGAAAAATTATTAAGGTTTGGTAAACATAACATAGCACCTTTGGCCACGTTTACGAGGGTCATTGAAAACTCAAGTACGAACCATGGCGCAATTTTAACGAACAAAATGCGTGTAACCAGTGCTGTTTACTCGCACCCTATGTACGTTTGTTGATTCACCCCCGTGTGGACGATTGTATTTCCAGGAGAGCCAACACCTTCCTCGGTAACTGGAGGTACAGAAAGAGGACGCCAGCCCCAACAGCCCCATGGAGGACCATCTTATTACCGACCTCAATCCTTTAATCAGGCGCTCCTTGGGTACCCACGTAATGGTCCCATGCCTTATGGGGCACCTGGTGTTGCACCGTATGGGCAACCTGTGGTACCTGGGAGAGAACCTTGGCGCATAGACCGACGAACCCCTGAAGCTGCTCCTCAGAGAGTACCATCAACAGAGGGGCCCCTTAGAGAAGAAGGTACTGTTAATTAACGTCGTTTTGAATCAAAGCAATTCAGGACTATCCTATGTTTGTCTAAAAACTGAAGTTTACGGCCTCTTAATACAGCAATGCCCGATGTGACAAATCGGCTAATAATGCAAGTCCGAGTTCATGATTTTTCATTTTATTGGCCATTTCTGTTCGTTAATGTTCAGTCCATTACTAGTTTCAATTGCTTGCCAACAAGGTGTCAACAACCAAGTAAATCACAGATGCTGAGGCCTGATTTAATGGTTTGACATATTATGCTTAACGTGCCTGTAACGTTTGATTTGATTGATAAACATTGAAACCAAATATGTTGGCCGTTCAAATAATTACAGTATCTTTCTTTAACGTCTTCAATAATTTTTTGCCATCGAACCTCCTGTAAACAACCTTTCTGTTCATTTTGAGCGCAAGTGATTTGTGTAAGATAATGTTGAAGGTCTTCTAGAACAAATCAAGTGTTCCTGCGATTTTGTTGCTTGAGAAAAGAGCCGACATTTCGCAATGCCACCAAAGATTTCCCCGCGAAATAACGTGTGAGGAAGGATAGGAGATATTCCATACTGTTGACTCCTTAATACCCAGATCTGGGTCGACTCGTGCTCCTGATTGGTCAGAGAAAAGTGTTTGGTCGATCAGAATCACTTCCCAGATCCCAGTAGTGGCGCGCCATCAGTATGGAGTTTCTGCGCTCGTTACTCAGACGTCATTTCGCGGGGAAACCTTAATAGCGTCGCGAAATGTCTCAGTAAATGATGATCAGGTAAACTGCTTCAGTGGCGGATCTAGGGGGAGGGTGCAGGGGGTGCGCACCCTCCCCTGAGATGACCCGCGGTTTTCTAATACAACTGGTATTCTGCAAAAAAAAAAAACTATGTGGTTTATTGGTGTTGAAGTAGAGCAAGAGACGAGTGCACCCCCTCCTAAAAAAAATCCTGGATCCGCGCCTGTGCTTAACTACTTTTCATTATATTTGAAGGTAAAGCGAGAGATCCCTCTGAACCAACAAGAGACGCAGCGTTGCGTCCCACAGGCAGCAAACAAGCAAGTGAAAGTTCAGATAGCGGCGAAGAAGAAGGAAAGCATGGTGAACCTAAAGAAAGCCGACCCAATGAAAGGGACGAACTGAGCGTTGAAGGAATGCAGCAACAACAACAGCAGCAGAGGAATAAAGTTCCAGCCACGCTTTCTATTAGCCACATATTAAGCGGTGCTTCAAGGGATGACCATCACCGTCAAGAAAGTGCTGCAGCACAGGACAGCTCTCCTCACGGTACACCACAGGGAACCCCAACTCCACAAGGTACACATCCTATGCCTCATGCTTCCGCGCGTCAAGGCATGAGGTCACCAGACAGCAGGGATAGGCTCACTCCATCAAACGAGCAATTTAATATGGCTTCTGGTAAAGGACCATTTGAGAACATTACAGGAAGGGCCTCTTACGAGAACCCGCACGGACGATCCCCTTATAGAATGGCACCTAATGAGGCCTTAGATAGACCTGGTCCATATGGGGACCCTCGTCGGCAAGAGTCTTATGAACATAATGTGGGGATGAAATTTAACGATAGAAAACATTTAGGAAATGCTGCGGAGAGCGTTATTAAGAAAACGCCTCACAGTACGGCTTCTGATTTAGGTTTCTACAAGAAAATGCCGGAACTGAGACCAATACGCGAGGCGAACGACAGTGAGGAAGAGCAGCCAATGCAAGATAGAACAGTGAAGAGTGTATCTGAAAACGGGCATTTAGAGCCTGCTAAAACAGACGCTGTTGGTCAGCGGATGTCAGGTGACATGAACAAACATCTGAAGGAAGGAAGCCCGAGGGGGGTGGGGGTACCGTACAAAGGCTGGCCTGAGCTACAGTTTGATTCGTCTTCTATCACTCCAGGCAGCTTCCTTCAAGAACTTAACGATGCGGGGCCACCATCCTTGCCTGGAATGGGCGGCGAGAAACCACCTCCTGATAAGAATAATCGCCTGCCTTTTACGTCCATGTTAAGGGGAATGAACCCATCCCAAGGGAATCCGGTTGATCGCAGGGCCCAGTATTTAAGTTTAGATGCGGCGAATCGAGCGAGGATGCGAGAAAACATGTTAATGGGCAATTTACTGCACAGCGCTGAAGAGAAACGCGAGAGGTTTGAAGCGGGTTCTCGCGCGGGTGACATGAGTGCTTATATGTACGGCAACAAACATCCTTCAGAAATGATACCGCCTGCTCTTCAATATCGACCAAACATATCTTCATCTTCACACCAAAGAAACGTGGACCCCTCAGATATGCCACCGGGAGCGAATTCGCAATTTGTGGACCTGAATTCCATGCAATACCGGTATCCCGGGGGACTCCCAGGATCCCGGGAGTCTCTGTCTAGAGAACAGATGTATTTTCTTGAGCAGCAGCGGAGACAACAGATGGCGTCCTCAATGGACGCTATGATGGCAGGGGGGCAGGAACGTATGATGGGTTATGGTGGTATGTTACGTCAGCAGCAGCTGTTTAACGCTGCGTACGCAAGTCACATGAGGAACGGCCAGTATCCAGGTTTTCCAAGTGAAGGTGAGAGCCCTTTGCATAATTAAAACTCTGTTTACACCGTCTTTAGTTATTTCATAACCAACAAGAGGTGTAGTGGGATTGTAAGGAGGGACCCACGGCCTTGGGGAACGACAGCAGCGATCTGCCGTGATGGAACCTCGCAAATTTAGGTTATACCTTAAGCAATGCTGCGTCAAAAAAACTCCGGTCCATGCTGCTCTCGGTGCCATTTTTTCGTTCCTATGCCTAAAACGACCCCAACCATGCTTTGAGTAACTCAGCCCTGGCATATCAGAAGGGATAAAGGCATCACTTCCGGTTGACGTGGATCGCTCAACAACTTCCTTGCCTAAGCTGCTCCCTAATGTTGAAGATACAACCTCTGCTCAGCAAGGTATATTTTGGATCGGGTTGACAACATATACTTCCTAGCTACGATACATTAGAATACAAAGGATTATCCAACCCTAGCCTGCGAACAGCATACGCATTTCCGGCCGTCGCTTTTGTTTTTAAGCGACGACCGGAAATGCGTCTGCTGTTTGCTGGCTATTCCGACCCTTGAGAGTAGCAAAATATAAATCGTTGCGCATGTCATCTTCTAATGCATGATACCCTGTTTCCTTTTCAGAACATCCAGCCAAGATGGCAAGGTTTAGTTGACAGAGGATCCGATTGTGACTTACCGGATGCAAGAAGCAATATTTTTTCATAATACCCGCGCAATCGTAATAAAGCATTGCAAATGATGTGTAGGCAATTTGTTAATCCCAGTAGTCCATAGAATACGAAGAGTTATTGTTTAATTTACTTGATTAGTACTTTGATGATGGCATATGAAGTGTGTGGTTAAATCTCTCTTTTACTTAGCTAGTCGAGAAAGTCTTATATAAGTACGTCAGGAAATTGAAGATTGAAGTGACAGATTGAAACTAAATTTAGAAGCAACTTAAACCTTTTAACTGTCTTGAGAAAGAGTTAATCAGTTACTCTACCTGGTAAAGGTGACTAAGTTCAAAACTGAGAACCTCCCAGAATTAAAAAGACACTTGGCAATTCTTTGCTGCGCTTCCGTGTGGCTGCCATAAGTGGGTGCACTCAAGAATTTTCGAAAGTTAGCACCACTCAGAGCTTCACAGAAAGGTTCTGCTCGAAGCTCAGTTTAGTTTTCAAACGCCCGAGCTACCTCACTTAGTTAAATGCTCGGAGGTAACCTCTATTTTTTATTGCATCACACTACTACTTTGTGTAAGCCTAGACCAGACCCCTCTTAACCCCCCACCTGACCCCTATTCGTACCATTTCAATTATAGCTCTAAGCGTACGTAAACTTTTCTACATCCTAAGTAACTATTTTCTTTACTCCTGACGTTTCTGATTACCGATCTAGGGTAACTGGAAGTCGTTGATCATTTACTATGATTATGCTTTTCAGAATCTTAAGTACATGGCGAACAACAGACTTTTTCCAAAAACGATTTTTTTAACCTCAGATATTTGTAATAAACGGTTACCAAATCTTGAAACTCTTTCGTATTTATTTTGTACCTTTGTATATTTATATTCTTCCATATAAAATTTGTAACATCTCGGGCAATAAAAATTGATTGTGAGAGAGGGTGTATCTCAATAATAGACAGTCAAACTCACTTGCTAATAAACCGTGCATTTGATAGCGGTGTACATTTCGTGTACAGATAAGCTACAACCTGTACATACAAGACCTTAGCTTCTATTCACTGTTCGGAAACTCCGTTCAAATACGGATCTATTTAGGTTTTCTGGGAAAGTGCCCACCTACCCCTCCCCAAAGCCAACATTAACACTTACTTCTCGTTTAGGGCAAAAATGTTGATTTAGGGAAGGGGTAGGTGAGCAGTTTCCCGGGAACGCTGATCCAAATACTATTAAATCAAGGTTGCTTTTGGTACCGATTTCTCCTATAGTGTACCCATGATAGCCCCTGTAATCTAACTATTGTCAAAACATTTTAAAGCTAAAAAGTACTATTTACAAATATTTTATGTACAAATATTTAGTGTTCAAACATTTAGTGTACAAATATTATGTATGCATAAAACCAAATCAGGCAACATAAGCGAACCCGTTGACTCTGTGGGCGAAGCCCTGTTGATTCCCTTACCTGTATACCTTGAAATTAATCGGTTGCACCTTTTTTAAGTTGTCTCTTGTCATAGTCTGGGAACTCGTTTCTCTCAATTATCTTAACGCTTTCTAGACCCCACCAAGTCCTTATTTATTAACAAATCGACGACATGTTAAGATGGTTATAAACCTAGCCTGTACACAGTCGAACCCCGCTCTAAGGACACTTGCGAGCGAAGGGTAGAGGTCATTGCATTCCTTTTAACTGCTGTAAATGCAGTGTCTTTTAAATAAAAATCAGTCACAAAAATTGTACTCTTTCTGACGTTTTAAAGCCATAAAATTCATATGCGAGCCCTTTTGGGCCCTTTTACTAACCCAAACGACAGATTTCGCTCCCTCCCATATACTTCAACCACTGAAATCCCTACCCTTTCATGTACTGAAGCCTAAATAAGGTACCCCTTTCGGGCGGAGCCTCCCCGTATAGGCCATCATAGTGAGTACCCCCCCCCGGTCAGAGATGCCAACCTCTGGAGATCTAAAATCTGGAGACTCTCTTTTTTTTCACTACCTCCCCGGAATTTCTATATAAAGGTTTACCAAGTTGGTATAAAGAGAGAGAACCGTTTACCCATAAAACGGCCATAAATCGGCCCGTGGACCAAACAGAAGAGACGTAACACACTTTTTAAGTAAGGTAAGCTGTCTTTTATTGAAATCCTTTCATTTTCGTAGGTCACAGAAACGATAGGCTTTTTCCCCATGCAAATCCTTATATTTGGAATGTTACGCAACAATGCCGATGTTCGCCGATGCTTATATTTCGAGCTTGGGACACCTGTGCTACTACACCATCTTCCTTGCGACGTTCGGGCATGCGCAGAAAATAAAATTCCGAGATAGTTTTGGGGTTTAAAAGTGACATAGCAATCTTGACTTTTAATTTCGCTTTTCTTCCCTCACGTTTTTGCTAGACTTTCACTAGGCTTCATTTTGGAGGGAAATGTTTGTGAAAAAGCTTTAACTTTAGGATCTTAGTATGTGATCAAACGAAAGAAAGGTGGGTAGGAAAAAAAGATTTTTGTTTGCCTTAATTTAATTTCTATCACAATAGGGGTAATTTTACTATGTATGTTGGTGTGAGTTTTAGGAGAATAATTTGTACCAGTTTTAAACTATTAATTTACACATGCAAATTAACAGATCACAGCATTGTAGCAAAAGGCAAAGAGCAAGTTTGCTGTTAAATTCAGAAAGCGATTGTGTTATTTTTGCCAGGTAAGAAAGATTGTTCCAGAGCATTGCGGCACTATGCTTAAAACTGCGTTTCAGGACATTCGTCTTTGGCCTTGGAGGTACTAGATCAGTTTCAAGATAGCTAAGATTATAGTTAGTGTTACCATCATTTTAAAAATTTTGTAAAGGAGGCTCTCAGGAGGTGGGCAGATTGATCCTTGATGATTTTGTACATCAAGGTAGCCTTATTATGTGAGTGCCTGGTATGGAGGTTTTCCATTTCAATTATCAAGAACATATAGCAGTTTAATGTCATATGACAGGGTGTTTATTAGGCATCAAAGATTAAAGAATTGTCCATTTACTATGCAGAAATCTCCAGCTAATGATTGGTAGCCTGCGACTATTCTTTTATACAGACATGGAGCCTTTTCAGAGTATTCTGCTGTAACGTTACACATTACTCCCGCTTCTAGAATTCTTAACGAAAACACTGTATAATGAACTTGTAAATAAATGACTTTACCCATAGAGTTTTGAATTTTTTTTCCAATTTATCTTTCAGTTCCTTTCCACAAGTATTCCATAGGGACGAATTAACAGAAAGCAAAGTAAGTAACAGGCTATGACGTTAATATGAGGTTCAGAGGGTTACAGGGGGGTTACAATGGCTTATTGCGGCTACAAGGAGTTACAAAGGGTTACAGAGGGTTACAAGGGGTTACAAGGGGTTACAGGAGGTTACAAGGAGTTACAAGAGGTTACAGGGGGTTACAAAGGGTTACAGTGGGTTACAAGGTGTTACAGGGGGTAACAGGAGGTTACAAGGGGTAAGAAGGGGTTACAGGGGGTTACAAGAGCTTACAAGGGGTTACGGGGGGTTACAAGGTGTTATAAGAGGTTACAGGGGGGTTACAATGGGTTATTAAGGATTACAAGGGGCTATGACGTTAATATGAGGTTCAGAGGGTTACAAGGGGCTATGACGTTAATATAAGGTTTAGAGGGTTACAGGGGGGTTACAATGGGTTATTGGGGCTACAAGGGGTTACAGGGGATTACAGGGGGTTACAAGGGGTTACAAGGGGTTACAGGGTGTTACAGAGGATAACAGGGGTTACAAGGGGTTACAGGGGGTTACAGCAGGTTACAAGAGGTTACAGGGGTTAAAACGGGTTACAAAGTGTTACAGTGGGTTACAATGGGTTACAGGGAGTTACAGGGGGTTACAATGCCTTAAAGGGGGTTAAAGGGAGTTACAAGGGGTTACAGGGGGTTACAAGGCCTTACAAGGGGTTACATGGGGTTAAAAGAGATTACAGTTACTTCTAGTTAGAAAAAAGTTTCTATAATCCTTTGTAACCCCCTGTAACCCCTTCTCACCCCATGTCACCCCTTGTAACCCCCTGTCACCCCTTGTAACCCCATGTAACCCCCTGTAACCCCTTGTAACCCCCATAATTCCCATGTCATAGATCGTGAAAATAAATCGTGAAAAAATGATTTTCGGCGTTTTATATAGCAAACAAGCGTTTCTGAACAACGAAAACATCCCTTTCAAAAACCCACAAAATTGACATTTTTCCAAAGGGGTTAGTCCATGGTTTTGGTCAAAAATTTGAAATTTTGTTAACGTTTCGTTTTATGCAAAATACACCGAGAAAAAGTATTTGGTGACGTTCTCGTTAGAAAACAAGCC